TATACGATCCAGGGAGGTGTTGGATGCTTGGTAATTTGAGAGTGGCTGTAGGCCAGTTAAATTGTTTCTCAAATTCTTCCAGTCATCTATCCCGAGAGCTAATTAGGGTGGCATTTTTCTCGGAGATTGACTTTCATAGAGCAGTTATAAGGCTATGAAGCTTATTTCCATTGACGAAGACAGGTTTGTTGGCAACAGAATTTTCCAGATACCTTTAATCGGTGTCCAGTTATTGCAGTTGTGTGTATTTAGTATAGATTAATTAGATAAAGACTCCGTGATCGATTTTCTACTGATTATATTAGATTTTAAAACCTACCCTTCATCCTATGATACTGAGGGTGAGTGCATGAACTGTGCTAACTGTATCCGTGCTGAGATTTCGTCAGCGATCAAACCGACGGCGTTGGCTGATGCAACTTCCCAAATAAGTAAAGTCGTCAACACGCTCCACATACCACTTCACTGCCTATTTCTAAGCTAGGTGTCGATGTATTCCAGTCGAGTCCTGTAGCATCATCTTACATTTGACAGGACGAGCGAATCGCATGTCAAACATTCGGAGATTGCTGCTCAAGATGTTGAGAAGACTCGTCATTTTGTCAGCGTCTTCCTCACCTAGGAGGGAGGACTATATCATCCGCATATTCCAAGTCAACGAGATTATTTCCTGGTAAGAAGTCAAGCCCTGAGTCGCTGAAGTCAGTCAGTTAGGGTTAAGTCCATTAGTACATGGATGATGAAATTAAAGAGAAATGGGGACAGTGGACATCCCTGACGGACACCACTGGTTGTTATCACTTCAGATGACAACTCTCCGTAGGCTCTTCCTTACCTGTCTGACTGCATGAGTTCGAGTAGAGTGAGTCCTTGATTAGTGAGATGTATTTCCTCGGCATACCCTTCACGGCCAAACATTGCCATAGTACCTCTCGGTCGACGAAATCGAAACCCCCCTTCAGGTCAAGAAATGTGACATTTGTTGGACGCCAGTAAGTACGCCTATGTACCAGAATCTGTCGAAGTGTGAAGATATGACCAATACAACCTCTTCCTGGTCTAAAGCATGCCTGATTTTCTCGTGTCTGCTCCTCCCGAGAACCCCTTAGTCTACGCATTATCATTCAGCCTAGAACTTTAGATACCACGATATTAGTCAAGCTAATCCCTCTGTGATTATCACAGGAAGACTTGTCTCCCTTCTTGTATACCGGGATGATCAATGACACACACCAGCCCAACTGGACTATCTCTGATTCCCAAACGATGCCTAACACCCTAGTTAACCGAGACAGTGAATTGTCTCCACCGTCCTTAAACATCTCTGGAGTTATTCGATCAGGTCTCACTGCTTTGCCTCGTTTCAGATTAGAGACAGCATTTGTAACCTGAGTTGGAGACGGAGGACCGGTGTTTATATACGATCCAGGGAGGTGTTGGATGCTTGGTAATTTGAGAGTGGCTGTAGGCCAGTTAAATTGTTTCTCAAATTCTTCCAGTCATCTATCCCGAGAGCTAATTAGGGTGGCATTTTTCTCGGAGATTGACTTTCATAGAGCAGTTATAAGGCTATGAAGCTTATTTCCATTGACGAAGACAGGTTTGTTGGCAACAGAATTTTCCAGATACCTTTAATCGGTGTCCAGTTATTGCAGTTGTGTGTATTTAGTATAGATTAATTAGATAAAGACTCCGTGATCGATTTTCTACTGATTATATTAGATTTTAAAACCTACCCTTCATCCTATGATACTGAGGGTGAGTGCATGAACTGTGCTAACTGTATCCGTGCTGAGATTTCGTCAGCGATCAAACCGATGGCGTTGGCTGATGCAACTTCCCAAATAAGTCAAGTCGTCAACACGCTCCACCACTTCACTCCCTATTTCTAAGCTAGGTGTCGATGTATTCCAGTCGAGTCCTGTAGCATCATCTTACATTTGACAGAACGAGCGAATCGCATGTCAAACATTCGGAGATTGCTGCTCAAGATGTTGAGAAGACTCGGCATTTTGTCAGCGTCTTGCTCACCTAGGAGGGAGGACTATATCATCCGCATATTCCAAGTCAACGAGATTATTTCCTGGTAAGAAGTCAAGCCCTGAGTCGCTGAAGTCAGTCAGTTAGGGTTAAGTCCATTAGTACATGGATGATGAAATTAAACAGAAATGGGGACAGTGGACATCCCTGACGGACACCACTGGTTGTTATCACTTCAGATGACAACTCTCCGTAGGCCCTTCCTTACCTGGCTGACTGCATGAGTTCGAGTAGAGTGAGTTCCTTGATCAGTGCGATGTATTTCCTCGGCATACCCTTCACGGCCAAACATTGCCATAGTACATCTCGGTCGACGGACTCGAAAACCCCGTTTAGGGCAAGAAATAAGGCATTTGTTGGACGCCTGCGTTAAACACGCCTATGAAAGACAATCTGTCGAAGTGTGAATATGTGACCAATACAAACTCTTCCTGGTCTAAAGCATGCCTGATTTTCTCGTGTCTGCTCCTCCCGAGAACCCCTTAGTCTACGCATTATCATTCAGCCTAGAACTTTAGATACCACGATATTAGTCAAGCTAATCACTCTGTGATTATCACAGGAAAACTTGTCTCCCTTCTTGTATACCGGGATAACCAATGACATACACCAGCCAAACTGGAATATCTCTGATTCCCAGACGATGCCTAACACCCTAGTTAACCGAGACAGTGAATTGTCTCCACCTTCCTTAAACATCTCTGGAGTCATTCGATCAGGTCTCACTGCTTTGCCTCGTTTCAGATTAGAGACAGCATTTGTAACCTGAGTTGGGGACGGAGGACCGGTGTTTATATACGATTCAGGGAGGTGTTGGATGCTCGGTGAGTTGAGAGTGGCTGTAGGCCAGTTAAATTGTTTCTCAAATTCTTCCAGTCGTCTACCCTGAGAGCTAATTAGGGTGGCATTTTTCTCGGAGATTGACTTTCATAGAGCATTTATAAGGCTATGAAGCTTATTTCCATTGACGAAGACAGGTTTGTTGGCAACAGAATTTTCCAGATACCTTTAATCGGTGTCCAGTTATTGCAGTTGTGTGTATTTAGTGTAGATTAATTAGATAAAGACTCCGTGATCGATTTTCTACTGATTATATTAGATTTTAAAACTTACCCTTCATCCTATGATACTGAGGGTGAGTGCATGAACTGTGCTAACTGTATCCGTGCTGAGATTTCGTCAGCGATCAAACCGATGGCGTTGGCTGATGCAACTTCCCAAATAAGTCAAGTCGTCAACACGCTCCACCACTTCACTGCCTATTTCTAAGCTAGGTGTCGATGTATTCCAGTCGAGTCCTGTAGCATCATCTTACATTTGACAGAACGAGCGAATCGCATGTCAAACATTCGGAGATTGCTGCTCAAGATGTTGAGAAGACTCGGCATTTTGTCAGCGTCTTGCTCACCTAGGAGGGAGGACTATATCATCCGCATATTCCAAGTCAACGAGATTATTTCCTGGTAAGAAGTCAAGCCCTGAGTCGCTGAAGTCAGTCAGTTAGGGTTAAGTCCATTAGTACATGGATGATGAAATTAAACAGAAATGGGGACAGTGGACATCCCTGACGGACACCACTGGTTGTTATCACTTCAGATGTCAACGCTCCGTAGGCTCTTCCTTACCTAGCTGACTGCATGAGTTCGAGTAGAGTGAGTTCCTTGATCAGTGCGATGTATTCCCTCGCCATAATCTTCACTGCCGAACATTGGGATGGTTTCTCTGTTATTTTGACTTTACCTTTCTGCCAATTTTAATAATTCTGCGGTGAGAATATATCTGCGGCTCCAGAGTAAAACGAGAGAATCTGTCAGTGATATTCTTTCGCATTTCTTTACGTTCCCAGTGGAAAATAAATCTTACACCTGGACACTTGAAGTTTCAGTAGCAGTGGAATTAATTTTTCGGGGTTAGGTTTGCTAGCCTCGTGCCTAACCTTCCCTGTTTTCCAGTCTTATTACTACCTTAGCGATGTATACGTATGAGTCGGTGGCCGAACACTGAACCACCTGACTGGTTAGCGAGCATTCTAACGCTGTGCCACTGACGCGCGTTGCTAAGAGTCTGGTGGGTGCAATGTTAGCGTATTTCTCTACTCCTCTACGTCAAATTGTATAAATTTCTAACTTTCTCGAATATGTTGAAGCACTAAAGAAAACGTTATGTTTGTTAGAGGTTATGCTGGGTGAGTCTTTTTTCCCAATGTTTAATTAACACGCACAGTTAGCTTTCCAGTTATCGATCACTGCAGAATACATGGTTATCTTATTATGATTACAATTTCATATATAACTGATGTCATAGGCATAATCAAATTTCCTTAGGAATTCAGCCTTCTCTGAAGAATATATACAGTTTCGTATTCATTCTCGCATATGCCAGTTTACGCCGTCTCAGGCGTAGACGTGATATCCGACTATCGACCAAAGGGCGTGTGTACTTCTCAGCAGTCCGCTCCGTCCTCCTTTATGGCTGTGAGAGAAACATGGCCATTGAGAGTGGAAGACATGAAAAGATTAGCTGTCTTCGATCATAGGTGTCTGCGTTCTATCTCCCGTGTGAAGTGGTATAATAAGGTGAGCAACATTGAGATTAGACATCGGTCGAGTGCTAGGTAAGGGGGGGAAATCAGTCGACGAGTTTGTGAAATTACATCAACTGAGATGGTTAGGACATGTGTTACGTATGCCTAGTCATCGCCTTACAATAAAAGTATATTCTTCTTCGATATTGCTATTCCTTTTGCCTCATATATCTGTTTACTGTCTCCATTTTGCATTTCTTTTACTTTCTTCTCTTGCTTTGTGTGCTACATAGAGTATGGCAAGTAGAACTGGTGCACATCGATGCAAAGTTCTATGTCGAAAACAGACAGACCACTTAAACACTACCTCACCACTTCTCTCTTTTTGCTACATAATCGTACAACACTCTACCGATTGTAACAAGAGACAGGTAACGCTCTATCGTATATTTCATGATAAGTATTTCTATTTATATAAGAGTACAGGTAGCCGCAGGAGGAGGGAAAGGATTTTACAAACAGAATAGAGGGGATTCAATTGCCCTCTTTCAACTGTAGTAATAATAATAAGGCACATTTACATATCAATCAATTAGGGTAAAAGGTATATATACCAGTGGCTTTTCGCTAACGTTGTTGTGCCGTTAATAATAATAGCATAATAATAATAATAATAATCCTATTGAGCTTTGCGTTGAATCAGCCTTCATTGGAGTAATTCATTTGAACTGAATTGACACAGTCACATAATAAATCATGATACTGTTTCCAATCTGAAGGATTCATTGGCGCTACTTCATCTCCAGTTGTCGTTGTTGTTGCTGTTGTTGTCGTTGTATTAGCTGATGATGTAGGCAAGAGTTGAAGACATGCATATTTATATCGATCAGTATCATTATTGCTATGCATCATCAAATGAGACGAACGTAAAGGTCGACCTTTGACGTATAAATGCCTAGTAGCGACCGATTGTTCATCGGATAACTGTTTAGCTAACTGATGAGCTATATTCAATGCTGTCTGACTAAACTTTTGAAAGGAAAGAAAAAGAAAAACGAAAAATTTAAGGGGAAAAATTAATATATATGCACAAAACTTGGGTACTATATATAATTGATTATTATTATATTATGAATTCAAGTTTGATAAAACGAATAGTATCCCTGCATACTAACACTTGTAAATTAACCTGATGCCCACTAGTGACTGGCTGACTGACTGACAACAGAAGGAGGTTGACTGGGGTTCTAGTGAGCAGGCGTGATCAGACGATCCACCAGGTCGGGTGTGAGGGAAAAAGCTCACCGAAGACATTGGCTGGCGAATTCGACTAGATTAGGTTGCAATCGCTGATTGATTAACGAGCTTATTCTCGTAATACCTTGTAGACTGTCAGTTCGATCCCCGGTGAGGTCGTGTAGGTGTCTGCCGTTGAAGAGTCTCAAACTGCGGTGGAATAGCTCTCCAGTACTTTCCAGTTTTGAATGCTGTTTCTAAATGATGAGTCAGTTTGCAGTTTAACTTGGAACCAAAAGCCCTGGTAACTGGATATTTTTCATCTTAATGCGAGATACTGAAAAGTTTTCATTTTGTATGATTATTATTGCTCGGAATTGTGTTCAAGAATGCATATATATATATATATATATTTGTATATATTATTAGTGTATGTGTATATTGATCGATTGATCTCTGTTTAAAATGAACTCTGTGTAAGTATGTTAAATTGTTATTGTAGATACATTTAATAATGTTTTTGCCCTGTAAGCAGCTGAAGAGAAGGCGACGAAATAAAATATGGTACCATTTTATTCCGCTAAATCTGTAGTTGTTGCTTTGTTTAAATTCATTAAGGGGAAAAAATGTATGAAATAATAATAATAGTAATCATAATCAACAAGTGTTAATTTAAAGGGATTTGATTCTTTTCCAAGTGTACCACAAGGCTTCAGCCGACGCACATCACCACTTTGCTTTGTTCTCTGCAGTCACTTATAGATAGCTCCACGATTACCTAGAAGCCTTCATTTTCTCCAGTTTATATGATGCCCTCCACACTCAACTTGATTCCCACTCTAGAGAAGGTAGGGTGTGTACTTCACTTTACTTCGGCTATCTCCTACGGGAGGATGAGCCGGCTTGATGAACATCTCGAATCATCGCTGCCCAGGCGCGGCGATCTTCGTTTGTAAGAGAGTTCATGAAGTTTCATGGGAATTTGGTACGAGTGATGTCCCCAGAATCGCTCGGCCATTTGTTTGAGAGTGCAGCTCTAGCCTTTACACAACCAAGTGTGACCTGCAAGGCAGTAGGAGTGGAGTAGGGAGTCCACTATCCATTGGCAGCCGGTGACCGGAGTTCGGTTCATACGCCTTTTTGAATGGGGCCAGATATCCAGGACATCCAACAAGCCCTTTGTCCATACGTCTGCCGGTGAGCTCCAGTGAGCTTCATACGCCAGTCGTTGGAGGTTTGAAATCAGGGTTTAGCCATCTCCCCTAGACTGTCATCCAATGGACAGTCAACCCGGTGAAGAGCGCCGGGCATCCGCTTTCGTCCTCTCACTTTGGTGAAAAACCCCCCGCCACGTGAAGGCAGTGAGTAGGACTTCCTCAGGAGAGGCTATGTAAGACGCCCGGTCATATGAGAGCATTTCAAGAGGTGTGCGGAGGGGTGGTCAAGCCACAGCGCAAGGCACCCACCCCCGACCATCCTGAGGCTTTGGATGCAGTATGGTGTGTGATGTCACTTAACCGTCGCCTTAGCATGTGTCCAACTTATCTTCATTTCCTTCAGGATACTAGTTAAGCGATAGGTTCTTGACTGGTTTATTGCTAGCCAGAGTTCCTTGTGTTGCTAATTCTTTCTAGCCGATCATCTTATCTTGAGTATGGCACTGGCGAAGGTAGTTTTCGATGAAAGTTGGCATTACAATAGCTAGGTGTATAGTTCTTAATTAATTCTTTTACTATACAATCACCCAAACCCTTTTTTTTGTTTTAGAATATTATTATGGCCTTTTTTTTAATTCCTTCACGTTCCCCAGTGAAACATAGGGCTTCAAGCTAGTGGCTTGAAGTTTCTGTAGCAGTGTTTATTTTACAGGATGGGGTTGCTAGCCTCATGCCTAACCTTTCCTCTTCACCAGCATTATTTCAGGCTCAGCAATGTAAAGGAGTGCGTCGACCGGTGATCGAACCCCGGACCATGTGCATGGTCGGCGAGCGTCCTAACCGCTGTATCACCGATGCACAGATAACCTACATGCTAGGTAGTAGTTATTTGAATGGAACTTAAGTAGGTGATCAGCAGTGACATGCAGGCAGGCCACAGTCTTGGAGACACAGTTGTGAAAGACTGACGGATATAAGAGAGAGAGAGAGAGCTAAGTGCAATGGAGACATGGGCCACTGACGCTTTATGTATTCCATATTCGGAAGGTTAGGGAATAAATGATGATTGGTTATCATATCATGGTACATAAACACATTCAATTAAATCAGCTAGCTTACTTGTAGACTTGGGAAATAACAAACAGCTACATTCTTATGATAGACAACAAATGATTGAGATGGTTTGAGTTGTTGAAAAGCCAGGACAAGCTGAGAAAATAGGAAAAAAAGAATAAAAAGTGGAGAATTATCAATGTCCAAGAATAATAATAATTTGCTTTATTCCAAAACAGTACTTGTGGTACAGAATGGAATTCCCACCATTTTTACTACAGCATTGCATCCAGTTAGTACATTATCAACAAATAAAATTCTACATAGATTAAGGGTAATCTCAGTTCATTATGACAACAACATATTGGCATGTCGGTATCAAAGCCAAAGTTGAACAGTATTTGAAGGTGTTAGAAAAGTAGGTGTTATCATATCTACTGGCGTAAGCGGAAGAAAGAAACAAATAAGTTATAGGTATCACGCCTAATGCTTTCTTTATCGCACAGAACACGAGCTAAGTAAGGTATGGTTGAGTTTTTGTACTTGCTAGTGCGAGCATATAGTTTTCTGGTTTTGTCTGATGAGATGCAAGGGGAGAGTTGTGAGTGAAGAGGGTGGTTTGAGTTAGATAAAATGGATTAAGCCCATTTTTCACATGAGTCCAAGTGCCCGTCTGTCGACCAGGTTAAGTGGCACGTGGCTTACCCTGCTGACAACCTTTAACATCCTGCGTAATATGTTATAGTCTTTCTTCAGTAGCCCTGGAAAAACTAAGAGGGAACAAGAGAGAATAATAGGCAGGATGCGAGAGTTAACGAATTGCAGCAGTAAGAGCTAGGTTATACCAGAATGTTTTAACTTCTTGATGTAGAAGGTAAGACGGAATATTTTCTTAGAAATCGCCAAGATATGGGACGACGAGGAAAGATCAGCAGATAGAATTACGCCTAGGTATTTAATTTCCGACTTTGTTCCTATTTCAGTGTCATCTATGTTGCAAACCTCGTGAGAGCTAACCAGTTTGTTTAGGTCAGATTTATACCTAAAGGTGAAATTGACTGTTTGGTATTTGGAGGGGTTTAAGGTAAGACTGGTTTCCTTGGACCACTGGCTGATTTCTGATAGAAAGCCACTTAGATTAGAGCAGTCACTTTGACATTTGACAGGCAAAGATACTGTTAGGTCGTCAGCATATTTGACAAAATTGATGTCATTTAAAGATGGTAAGTCATGTAGAAAGAAAGAAAAGAGAAGTGGGGAGAGTACAGCACCTTGGGGGACACCAGCTTCAGTGAGCACAACAGAGGAGGATTTGCCTTTGTATACGGTGTATTGCATTCTGTTAGAGAAGTAGGAATGCAGCCAATTAGTGACCCAGGACTCAGTTTGTGTAATAGAGGGCTTACTTAGCAAGAGACATCTAGGTACAGGTATATGTTTACGATTGAAGGGATATAGAAAAAAGGCAGCAGTGAAGCCTCTACACCCCGAACTTGATCGGAACACTAGGTCCCCATTCGAGGAAGAGATCGCTGAACGTGTGTCTGAGTTTGGGACATCAAGACTTATCCTGAGGAAGCTCGTCATAACATACATTCAGTTGTAGAAACCACTGCTACGGTTGCTCATAACTCAAAACCAAAGCTTACTAAATGCCAGTTGATTTCTGTTGCATCATCCGAACTGAGTAATGCGAGGCGACTGATTCCGGCGAGCTCTGAATATGATGAGGAGAGAAGGTTAATCCAACCAAAGCTAAGCAAGAGTCTCCACAACAATTGAAAACAGTGGTGAGCGACAAGCGCAAGAGACATGGAAAAGGCATCAGTGTCAGTCAGTCGAAACTTTACTATAGGATGAGCTATTTTCCGAGGATTACTGTGAAGAAGCCTATACTTACTTAATAGCAGAATACCTGTGTTTGGGTGATTCCGTTCATTTGTAATCTCTGTGGTGGAAAATTCGGTCACCTCTAAGTAGACGGTAGCTAAGTATGAGAAGACCTAATTCTCTTAGCCTTGTAGGGGATCACACAAGTTCTTCGAACTAATCAAAACATCAACGATATACTTGTTTATCTGTACAGAGTGAAAGAGAGAGGGGTCACTAGATTATCATAGGACAAGAGCCTGACAGCTTTGTCGTCATGTGATTGCTTATCCCTACATTCTCCTTAAATCATTGTCAAGAAATAAATCCTTTCGGTAGCTAAGGGTGCTGTTAAAGACAGCCCGGTCACCAGGCTGGGCGAGCCAAACTAAACAGTCTGCAGGTAGTGTTTCCAGAGTTCAGGTCAAGCAGGATAGATGGCCACACATCTATCGTGAGTGTTATTTCTAGTAGAAATCAACTAGAAGCGAGTTCAAAGTCACTCAGGCAGCGTAACTAACTGGTTTCCTAGAGCTTTTCATTGTATAGTTCATCTCGGAGACCATTCACTCCTTTTTCCACATGTGTTCGGACTCCTTCCAAAAGACTGGCGTCTCTTCAGAGTGATGGTGGAGCAATGATGCTATACAATTCAAGGTGAGGTCTGACGTTTGTTTTGTACAAAATTGAAAATAGGGTGGGGGAGAGCGAACCTGGGCAAAATGAATAGTAATATGGAAGAACAATATCGTCTTATTGGATATTGTAAGTCACAAGGAGTGGATACATCTGCGCCAGCCAGAACGAGAACGATTTTCTGATTTTCTCCAGCCAGTGGTATTTACTGTTGCGAGGAGGCAACCAGACGGGAGCCTACACCTTCCTACGTGGCTTAAACTAACTGTTGTGAACTTCATTGACTGATGAAGTCATGTTTTAGTTTGACCACCACTGGCTTTCTTCCAGCGTGACCCTATGTGAGCTAACATTGCCCGTCGAGGAAGGCGATGGATGGCTAGGCATGCGTAACACATGTCCTAACCATCTCAGTCGATGCAGATTCCGAGCATTGTCGATTGATTTCCTTAACTAGCAGATGACGCCATAAATGAGTATTCCATAAAAAAATATACATTTGCAAAAGGAAGAAGGAAAGCATGCACTGATGCGCAAAGACAGCTAGCAAGGATTACACGTCATAAACAATAACCGGCCAGGTTGCAGAAAAATGAGGCTGGACCGAAATAATTGCAAAAAACAAAAAGAGACTATTCGTAGAACACCAGGTAAACAGAAAGTCAAAATCCGAGAGCCAAAAAAAGAAATCCGAAAAGAAATCCTTCCATTTTGTGAGAAAAATCAGTCAGATATAAAACAGATGGCGTTGGCTGACGAAAATACCCAAATAGGTGAAGACGAAAACTCACAACACATACCAATTCACTGTATATTTCTAAGCTAGGTATCGATGTATTCCGGTCGAGTCCTGTAGCATCATCTTACATTTGACAGAACGAGCGAATCGCATGTCAAACATTCGGAGATTGCTGCTCAAGATGTTGAGAAGACTCGGCATTTTGTCAGCGTCTTGCTCACCTAGGAGGGAGGACTATATCATCCGCATATTCTAAGTCAACGAGATTATTTCCTGGTAAAAAGTCAAGCCCTGAGTCGCTGAAGCCAGTCAGTTAGCTTTAAGTCCATTAGTACATGGATGATGAAATTAAAGAGAAATGGGGACAGTGGACATCCCTGACGGACACCACTGGTTGTTATCACTTCAGATGACAACTCTCCGTAGGCCCTTCCTTACCTGGCTGACTGCATGAGTTCGAGTAGAGTGAGTTCCTTGATCAGTGCGATGTATTTCCTCGGCATACCCTTCACGGCCAAACATTGCCATAGTACATCTCGGTCGACGGACTCGAAAACCCCGTTTAGGGCAAGAAATAAGGCATTTGTTGGACGCCTGCGTTAAACACGCCTATGAAAGACAATCTGTCGAAGTGTGAATATGTGACCAATACAAACTCTTCCTGGTCTAAAGCATGCCTGAATTTAGACCCTACAGAGTAGAATATAATCACCTAAGAGATAAGTTTATCTGATATAACAGACACGGTAAAGTATGGAGTATTAATCGCTGGAAGACATTTTGACGACAATTTATTACTACTCATAAATTATATCATTGTGTTTTCTCACGACTTCCTGATTCACCTTATATGGCCTGACTTCATCTAGTCAGCTCAATTTGATTGCATGTATTTGATGTTGATTCGATGAACAAAGATTTGGTGAGTAACCTCTCCCACTATCTCTACATCTGATATTACTCTGTAATACTTTTATCCTATTTCATCTGCCATGGTGTAATTACATGCAAGTAAATATTCATAGAAATGACTGAGCTTTATTGCAGATTACTCTAATTTATTACGGTCAATCATTCTAGATCTAACTAAATGCCCGTAATTCCAATAGTCTAATTTACTTCAAACTACTCATTCAATGTATGCAATTGACCTGACAATAATATATGGTTTTTGATTGACATCAGTTAGAGAACCAGTGAAAACGAGGGAGTGAAGGGCAGCTGTTTCGTGGAAGACATGAAAAGATTAGCTGTCTTTGATCATAGGTGTCTGCGTTCTATCTCCTGCGTGAAGTGGTATAATAAGGTGAGCAATATTGAGATTAGACATCGGCCGAGTGCTAGGTAAGGAGAGGAAATCAATCGACGAGGCTGTGAAGTTACATCGACTGAGATGGTTAGGACATGTGTTAAGTATGCCTAGTCATCGTCTTCCTCGACGGGAAATGTTAGCTGATATAGGGTCAGGCTGGAAAAGAGCTAGCGGCGGTCAAACCAAAACATGGCACCCGGCCGATAACTGTTACCTTGTCGTGGTGGTCGGGCTTAAATACCACAATGACCCAAGAAGCTGAACTGACTGGGACTCTGTCTCTACATGTCCTACCATGTCAGGGAGGTTTTCTGGATAGCGGTTAAACTAAAAGCAGTTACTATAAGGTAGATGGGCTCCAGTTTCCAATTGGATCGAATGGCGTATGAACCCATATGGGTCACCGGCAACCATGGGAATGCAGCTCCTGACGCTGCTCCGCTGCCTTGCGGATTAGACTCCAAGTCAAAGGCTCGCGGGGTGGTCCCTTAATAAAACCACCTGCTTCGGTCTGGGCGCCCGGGCAGTACCTCAGCCCGCACACAATGAATGCATTGAAGCAACGAACTCTCATTGAAACTCAACGCGCGCTAGTAAAAATGATTCCAAGCAATACTGATCCCTCAAGCAACTTACTTCCTTCCTATCTTACTTTTATTTTTACACATAGTTTCCTGTACTTTACCTTTGCTAACCTTGGCTTCTTAACCTTCGACAGCCTTTCGCCTTTGTCGAGATTCCCAGCCTATCCGTGTCGTTTCGAGATGTTATTGAGTAGTCCTCAAAATGGTTGTTCCCAATGTGACTTCTAACACAGATATCCTGAAACCGCGTGCTGCGTTCAAGCTGGCTACCTACAATGTTCGGACGCTGATGCAAATCGGACAACAGGTAGGGTTGGCAAGAACTTTGGAAAGCCTCGCTATCGATGTCTGCTGCATTTCGGAGACCCGCATTCAAGATCCCAGTGAAGTGCTTCGACTATCCTCTTCATCTGGAAGTTCTAGTAGTATGTACCACCTGCGCTTATCCAGGGACCCTGTGGCATCGGCATCCGGCGTAGCTGGTGTCGGTGTCGCACTGAGCTCTAGAGCTGAAGCTGCACTGCTCGACTGGATTCCCATTAACAGTCGTTTATGTGCTGTGAGGCTGGAAGGATATACGAAAGTAAGAAGTAGTAGGCCAGATAGGCGGTGTCTATTTGTTGTCTCTGCCTATGCACCGACGGATTGCAGCCCGGATGAAATGAAGGATGAGTTTTACTACCAACTGAGCGATCTGTTGAAACAGGCGGGTCGGAGGGATATCGTAGTGCTAGCTGGGGACTTGAACGCACAGGTCGGGCGTCTAAGCTCAGAGGAGAGTCGTCTAGGTGGTCAGTGGGGACTACATGGTCGCAGGTCAGATAATGGAGACCGTCTTCTGCAGCTTTGCGCGGATCACAACCTATTTCTAGCCAGCACCAACTTCCGGCACAGCCATCGCCGTAGCGCTACCTGGCGTCCTCCCTCTGCGAAGCAAGCTTGGACTCAGATTGATCATATTGCGGTCAGTTTCCGGTGGCGAGGATGCATACAAGACTGTCGCTCCTTCTGGAGCACATGCCTGGACTCCGATCATGAGTTAGTGTGTGCCAAGTTCGTCTTACGATTTGGTGGGGTTCGTAAAAACCGTCGTCTAAGCGTTGATGTGAGCAAACTAGTAGCACCTGCTACTTCTTTGAAATATCAGAATGAGTTGAAAACAATGCTTGCCAGCAACCCTCCAAATAGTTTAGATGAACACTGGCTTCATGTGCAAGGTGCCATGCAAAAGGCGAGTGTAGCCGCTTGCGGCATGAAAGAATGCTCCGCTAACAACCACTGGGTTTCTGCGAGTTCCTTGCAACTCATGGATGAACGCCGGTCCATTCCGGCTGGCAGTGAATACAACAATCAGCGAAAGGCGCTCACGCGCAAGATTAGACAGTGTTTACGTAAGGACCGCGAAGCCTGGTGGTCAGAACGTGCGTATGAGATGGAGTCAGCTGCCGCATCTGGCAACAGTAGGAAGCTGTTCCAATTCATACGAGCCACCGGCAGCAAGAAACAAGGTGTCAGCGAGACGGTGTGTGAGGCAGATGGCACGCCAATTACCAGCTTGAAAAGACACCTGGAACGCTGGGCAGAGCACTTCGGGAAAGTTTAGCCGGCCACCAGCTTCAATGTCTACTATCATTAGCCCGAGTGCTCCTTGGTCGGTTAGTACCGTTCCACCCACCGAAGCGGAGGTCCGTAAGGAACTCCAAGTTCTGAAACGCCATAAGGCGCCCGGCCCAGACAAATTACCCCCGGCTCTTTTTAAAGATGGTGGCGAGACTCTCATAATGGCTCTAACTGCGTTGTTCAGGAGGGTGTGGGAGACAGAGAGCGTACCATCAATGTGGAACGAAGCCATTATCGTCCCCATCTTTAAAAAGGGTCGATGTAATTCGTGTGACAACCATAGTGGTATCAGTCTGTTACCAGTTGCGTCTAAAATATTGGCTGCTGTCATGCTTCGCAGACTGTACAAAATACGTGAAGGTTTGATTCGCGAAGAGCAGGCTGGGTTTCGTTCAGGTCGTGGATGCATTGATCATGTGTTTACCCTTCGTCAGTTGTTGGAACACCGCCACACGTATTGCAGGCCAACGATCGTTGTGTTTCTTGATATTACGGCTGCCTTCGATTCGTTGGACAGAACTGTGCTCTGGAACTGTCTGTTGGAGAGAGGTGTACCTGAGAAATTTGTTAACATCTTGAAAGCCCTATACAGAAACACCTCAGGTAGAGTGAGGGCATACAACCAACTATCACCAATGTTCCCAACCAACAGTGGGGTTAGACAGGGTTGCCCAATCTCTCCATTTCTCTTTAACTTTGCCATCGATGACATTCCGGAGTCAGCTCTGAAGGATGTCTGTGAAGGTGGTGTAGATCTGCTACCTGGAGATAGACTTTTCGACCTCGAGTATGCAGACGATATCGTCTTACTGTGCGATAGCATGCAGGCTGCCCAAATCGCACTTAATCAGTTGGCGATCAGTGTCTGTAAGTATGGTATGTGCTTTGCGCCGTCTAAGTGCAAAGTACTGTTACAAGATTGGCAGGAGCCTGTACCTGCACTCACTCTTATGGGTGAACCGCTTGAAGTTGTCGATAAGTTTGTGTACCTAGGTAGTTGTGTGAGTGCTGGCGGAGGGGTGACGGATGAGATTTCCAACCGTATAATGAAAGCTAGGGTGGCATACATCAACTTGAGCCACCTCTGGCGCCGTCGCGACGTTAGCCTGGCTGTCAAAGGTCGGATATACAATGCTTCGGTGCGGGCTGCGCCGCTCTACGCCTGTGAAACCTGGCCTCTCCGAGCTGAGGATGTGAGGCGACTCTGCGTGTTCAATCACCGCTGTCTCCGCAGGATTGCTTGCGTTCGATGGCATCATCGCGTGAGTAATTCTGAGGTTCGGCGGCGTGTGTTTGAGCACAGTGGAGATCACCATTCATTGAGTGTCGTCATCTGGAAACACCGGCTCCGGTGGCTTGGACATGTGCTACGAATGTCATCCCAGAGACTTCCGTACAGGTCTCTGTTCGCTAGCCCTGGGACGGAGACGTGGTCAGCCCATGACGTGGCGTCGTGGGATGAAGGATTTCTGTGCTAGATTAGCATCGGTTGGTGTGTCACGACTCCCTGGTTGGGGTCTGAGAGATAGCTCAAATCGATGGCTCGAAACGTTATCGGATATGGCCAAGAATCGTAATCAATGGCGAATGTGTTGCGATTTCCTTCTTTCTTCCATTCCCGATGATAGTTAACGAACACTGTTTGAACCTGTTAAGAATGAGTGTTTTCCTTCCAGATGAAGTTCTCTATTCGTTCTCTACTTATATATATATTTTTTTTTCCTGCCTTCCTTCCTTTCTTTTTCATCTAAGTTGTTCTATTATTATTGTGTGGCGCATCCTTCTTGGTGCCATATTGTACCAAGTTTTAATGCGTCTAAATAAAAATAAAATAACGTAGGAAGGTGTAGACTTCCTGGTTAGGGTCCTCGGGACAGTAAAAACCAACGGTTGGAAACAATTGGTGACATGGCTCAAAATTGTTCTCAATGACTGGCGCAGATGCATCCACTCCTTGTGATTTATGATTTCCAATTAAACTGTTCTGTTCTTCGTTATTACTATTCCTTTTGTCTCACACCTCTGTTCACTGTCTATATTATGCATTTCTTCTCTTGCTTTGTGTGCTACAAGGAGTGTGGCGACTTGAACTGCTGCACATCGGTACAAAGTTCTATGTCGAATACAGACAGACAGCTGCTTCTTCCTAGCTTCGGTCTCCCCACATGTACGCACCCATCAAAATTCGAACTCAGAGTCTTCCGGTTTTCAAAGCGAGCTCGTAGACTATTCAAAAATTGCGATCCGCTCCAATAGCACATAAGTTCCAGGGCGACCGCTGGCTAATGTCATCGGCTAACTTGGTGAAGCAAGCTGGTCGTCAACTCCATGCAACTGCCAACAGCCGCTGAAGAGGTGGAAGACTCTGTATCCCGAATGATCCTGTACAGAATAAGTTGTTTCACTATTGACTTAAAGTTATTCTATGTATGTGTGTGTGTTTAGTATACCACTTTTTTACAAACTTCAACGGTCAGTATCTGCCTACTGATATTCATGGCTAGAGGAGATTCAAACTAGGACGAAACGGAATAATTCAGTCCTCCGTAGTTGTCACTGTTGTCGTACCATGAGAATTTGAATAAGAATTTCATTTAGTCTATCCAACGAAAAAGGATAACCGAAAGATGAATTCCGACAGTGCTTTCATTACTTAGATATAGTTCAGAGACTTGGAGAGACAGATCAACGTGCTGAAAGCATATACACAATAGATGCCTGCAGACGTCCACCAATATTCCTCATTACCTGAGGATAGATAAGACAACAGTAACAAAGTCTATTGATAAACAAATATGCAGGATATGGAAATACATGGATTAGAAATACACACTGAGGAAAACAAGTAATGATAATAATTACTAATTACAACAAATTCAATAACTAATCAATCAAAACAAACCCAACCCACTAACTTACTTCATCTGGTTTATTAAAAGTGAACCCTGAGACAATAACATCAGAAATCCTGCTTTTATTCCTTGAAATCAGGTCTCTTAAATTGTCAACATGTAGCTGAATTTGAACACCGTCTATTACGTCACCAGCATCACCATCATTACCGATTTTATTATGAATACGATGAAGATTCGATTCTAGCGCTAAACGAGCATACAATGGAAGATATCCACATTGATGTTGCTGGTGGGAATCATTTAGAATGCCTTCAAACCATTTAATGTGCTCAACAGTTTCCTGAGGATTATTCAATGCTTGTTTCTGTCTTAATTCACCTTCTTTAATTAATGTGTTAGCACGTTGATGAGCGGATTTTGCTAAATGACCAAAAATACAGGTGAACTAGAGGAGAGAGACAGAGAGAGAAGAGGGGGGGGTAACAGAAGATGTAATCAATACTGCTGTCTGTCACTAAGATGGATAGAAAACGAAGCTCACAGAACAAAAAAAATAGTGTTTGCTTACTCAGGCTTACTACATTATTTTTCCACCAGGAAGTTCGGCATTAGGACAGTTACTCACCGTTGGCATTGGCTGGCGGTCACGCTGTATGCATGTATGTATCGCCAATTGGTAGAAGTTAGAATAGATGGATGGCTACAATGGTTGACAAGCTCGCCATGTGTAATCTGGAAGTTTTGGGTTCTACCCACGATGATGGAGTCTCATTGAAGCGTGCTGCTGAAGAGTTTAAAACAAGGGCAAAACAGCAGTCCAGTAAGTAGTCTCTGTTGGTTTTCATTGGTTCACTAACTAAAGTCGCTTCATGATCAAAATTGAAATTAATGGAAAACCAACAGCTGCAAATTAATTAGAGGTATCACACAGTGAAATAATATGACTAACTGAATGACGATGCTTCGAACACAACCCGTTATTACTGTTCATAATCATAACCGTTGCAACTACACACAATGGCCAACTGACAAGCTTCTACAGCTGGGTACCAACCAGTCGGAAAAGAAACTTAATTAGATCTCTTGCCACAATGGAAGAAGAACTAAACTTCCTGAAAGAAACCTTCATACAAAACGGTTATCCATCAAGATTCGTGGACAAAAAAATCAAACAGAAAATCCAAAAGCAAGAAACAGCATCTGTGCCAAAAATGATACTTTATATGAACCTCGACTTCAAAGGAGACCTACTCAGTGACGTCCTTAGAAGGAGAAGCTCCACCTCTTTAAGAAGAACTTTCTTTGCGGCAACATTGAGAGTAGCCTTCTCTAGTCGCCCGCTGATCTGCAGAAGCCCAAAAGACAAGATCCCGCACCTGACCACTTCTATGTGTATATATCAGTTCACCTGTTGCTGTGGAGCCAGGTACATCGGTCGTTCAACGCGTATCCTGTCAAAAAGGGTCAAAGAACACTATCCAGCGTGGCTACAGAAAGGAAGTAATGGCTGCATAAGGAGTGCAATAATAGAACACCTCGTCAACACTGGTCATTCCATCTCAACAAACGCCTCCTTCAAAGTAATCTACAAAGTGAAGAACAGCCTTCCAAAGACAATACGTTTCCGTCTTCTTTGCATTGCAGAAGCCCTAGCCATTAAGTTGGAAGAACCAGAACTGTGCATACAAAAGAAAATTATTCAACCACTTCTACTCTCATGGTAACAACTCCGTTGATTTGACTTAACTTTTGTTTGTATGCTTATTTTTCTAACTACTTAAAACCCTTGCGTAATTCCGTATGTTATTTTGTTTCCATGTACACCCTGAGCACAACTCTTTCATCAAACTATTCATGTTATTACGTAACTCTTCTTTAACAATCGTTTGTGACAACTCATCACTTTTGTTACTACTCTCTTATATCAACATCCAATTCATCTGAACTTACTAATTGTATTTTCGTTTGACAAATTTAATGTACACACACATACAAAACAACCATATATATTTGCGATTGTGCAGCTATGAAAATGAATTCGCCGCCGAAAAGAGACTCTTTGCTGAACTACTGGTCTTTTGCTGTCTATTAATGTTCAAATGGGAATTTTTCATGAATTCAAAACTCGATTTCTCAAAGTTCTCCTCCTTTTTCTCCATTTGTTGCAGAGGTAATAGTAGACATCATCTAAACGTCTGGGTGGACAGGTGTTGAAATGTCCCTATTGCACCTTTTCTCAGTTGATTCAATCAATAAAGCTTCAATTATTAATCTGGCTTTATCTTCACCCTGTTTTATTAGATTTTAAGAGACTCACTTTGTCCCATCCTAGAGTCTGTAACTTTATGTAGTGTGTGCGCTATAGCTGAGTTTTTTCTAGATTTCTTATCTTATTAGGGTTAGCTAATCTGGATTTCGCTTGGGTTTTTACACTCGGCCTATGTATTTCACCTGAGAATCACTTCGGAGTATTCGATAAATTAAATCGTTATTATTATTATTTTGCTTAATGTCCTCCACAGGACCGATCCTTGAATCGATACAATTTGTTTTGAAGTCAGTTTGTGTTTGACTGAATGCCACTTTTAGAGCTATATGCTCAGAAGAAGTGATTGAAGATGAATTAAGCATTGTATATGATACTTTGATCGAAAATGGCTATCCCGACAAGTTTACCAAGAAACATATGACAAAGAAAGCCGAAAAGGACCACTCACTGTCTGTCAACAAAAAGCCTTTATACATACGACTACAGTTCATGGGCGATATACCAAGCGAGATAATTACGGAGAAATTAAGAAAATCATTTCAAAGGGCTTTTAATGCTGGCGAACTACACGTCTTATTCTCTACACGACCGATGGCGCTACCTCGACTGGAAGATGAAGTACCTAGACTAGCTGGCCACTTCAAATCGTCTCTACCAATTCAACTGTGCTTGGGGTGGAGAGTTATATTGGCCGTTGCTCTAGGAACTTGATTTTTCGTGCTCGAGAACATCTCTCACTATGGCTAAGTAAAGGTGTAGTGAAAACCACCAACAGTTCGATACTGAGCCATCTGGTGCAAACCAGTCACAAAGCCAGCGTAGAAGAATCCTTCTCTATCATCGACCAGGTGCCGAATAAATTGCCAAAAACATTGAAGTACCGCATGCTCCAAACAGCAGAAGCTATTGCAATTCGCCTCAAACAACCAGTGCTCTGTGTTCAAAAGAAGCAAATCCAGCCCCTACTACTGCCCTGGCCAGCCTTCAGTAGAAACTATAAACTCATGAATTTGTAATATATTATCTTTCCTAATTTCTCTGACATTCAGCTTGTTTTATGTTGATGATGTTCAGCTGTAATTTACCAATATTATTGATTCGATGTTATTTAAACAGCATTAATGTCGTTCATAAGACTAATTCATTCATTCATTATAATGTATTTATAATTGTAGAACCTGATGATAAATTTATCGAAAAGAGTACTCTTTGTTCCGTGTCCATTCTTTTGAAAACCTTTATTTCTGCTTCATAAGGAATTATACGTTGAGTTTCAGGGGTTCCTTCTTGGTGGGGAAAGACTACTGATGTTTTGAATTCCCATACCGAACGATAAACCATACATATTGTGTGAATGACGATTGGTGGTACTATCCAGTGGGTCGGTTGCGCCTAGGTCCAACAAGGAACTTAGGTCGTATTGGCCACTTATCATCCACCATCGCTACGAAAACTTAATGCCCTCACTATGCTTCATTCGGGATGTAGAGAAATGAAATACAGAAAAGAAAAAAAAGAGGAACACTATTTCAGAAAACATTCAGCTTACTTCTTTTATAGTGCTTTGACGACCTTTCACCGCGATCACAGCTATATCTTGTAAATCTGACAATTGCGAAAGATGCGTACCACAGCACAATTCCGCTGATATAACAGAAGTAAAATCGACCGATTCATCAGCATGTCCATCACTGGATGTTGGTTTCACTTGTCCAATACACACAGTCCGTACTTTTTCGGTATATTCTTCCCATGGGAAATATCTTACTTCTTTTATCTTAGTGAAGAGAAATGTGTGGAATAAGGAAAAGTAGAGTACTGAATAGACCAGAAAGATCATAAAAGAGTGAATACCATCTGTGTGTGTGCAGTTGAGAATGATTCTGAGGCATGTTATCAACAGACTTCACCCATTGGTTCTTAACGTCTCTCTAGATTTCAGGTACCTGAAGAGCCCACCCTACAAGGCTGGCACTGAAAGCCAGTCAAAAACTTCATGGATTTGTTCCATGTTTCAATTTGACCATGCCTAACTCTTTTGCAGACAAATTATGTTTTAGCTAACGTAATTCGACGAGGAAGATAGTGGATAGGCATTAGTAGCCGGTGTTCTAGGCACCACAAATGTGTCACGCCATTCTTTTGTATCCATGCTGAGATTTAGTTAGCATTAGGGCTAATATAATTTCCCAAATAAGCGAAGTGGCCAACACACTTGACCATTTCACTCCCTATCCTTAGGTTAGAAATCGGTCCAGTCCTGAACCATCACCTTACATTTCACTCAGACGAATTGCACAACAAACAGTCGAAGATTTCTGATCAAAGTGTTCAGAAGACACTGCGTCTTATCAACATCTTCACCAAGGATAACAGCATCATCCACATACTCTGTCTGTCTGTTTTCGACATAGAACTTTGCACCGATGTGCGGCAGTTCAAGTCGCCACACTCCCTCCATGTAGCATGCAAAACAAAAGAAAGTAGAAGAAATGCATAATAGACACAGTAAACAGAGGTGTGAGACAAAAGGAACAGTAATAACGGAGAACAAAACAGTTTCATTGGAAATCATAAGTCACAAGGAGTGGATGCATCCGCGCCAACCATTTAGAATGATTTTGAGCCATATCACCAATTGTTTCCAGCCGTCATTGGTTTTTACAGTCCCGAGGACTCCAACCAGTCAGGAAGTCTACACCTTCCTACGTGACTGGCTTAGACTAACTGTTGTGGATTTCATTCATTGGTGCCATGTTTTCATTTGACCGCCGCTAGCTCTTTTCTAACCTGGCCCTATATCAGCTAACATTGCCCGTCGAGGAAGGCGATGGATGGGTAGACATGCGTAACACATGTCCTAACCATCTCAGTTGATGTAATTTTGCAGCCTTGTCGATTGACTTCCCCTACTTACCTAGCACTCGATGCCTAACCTCAGTATTGCTCACGTTATCATACCACTTCACACGAGAGATAGAACGCAGACACCTAAGTGAACAAGGTTTCTACTTGGTAACAAATCAATCCCTAAGCTCCTAAAGTCAGTATGAGTCAATTCCACTAATACATCTGAGATGAAATTAAACAAAAATAGGGATAGTGGGCATCTTTGACGGACACCGTTGGCTGCTATCTCTTCAGATGACAAGTCTGTAAACTAATACACGGCTTCGTAAGTTCGAGTAGAATGCCTTGACTCCTACATCATACTTTTACAGCCAAACAACATTACCACAGCACCTTTCAGTTGACAGAGTTGAATACCGTCTTCAGGTGAAGAAATATGACAGATTCTGAAAGCTGACAAGTATGTCTATACCCCCGAAAATCTGCCTCTTCCTGGCCTAAAACCGGATTGTTTCTCCTCAGCGCCACTTAGACTATGGATGATTATTGAAACTAGAGCTTTAAATACTATTCTTAGTCCAGCTTATCTTTCCTATTTGGCATTCTCGTGTCACACAGATAGGCGTACCACTAGAGCAACCATGACAAAGTAAGTGAACACTAATGAAACTAAATAATCATGTTAGTTGTACACAACTCACTTTTGTCGCCTTGCTCACATCTGTATTCCAAACAGATATAGGGATATGCTTTTGGATCAATTCTCGACAGAGTTCTTCTAATCGTTGAATAAATCCACCTAGATTTTCATTCATCTGATCTGCTGCTGGTCCAACAAAAGCAGCCTTCAACGTAAAGTAACTTGGATGTGATGCGCCACCATGATGTTGAAATGTTGACATTTTTGAATTATCTGATAGTGCTACTAATGATTCTAGAGCAGTAGCGAATAAATGTTGACCAGTATGTGAACACATAAGATTATATCTGCGCTCCTGGAAATAAAATCAAAAAAATATATAAATGTGTATGTACACATTTCAAGTTGTATTTATGATTATTCTTGCCTACAGTCCCGAGTGGGACATAGCGCTTCAACTGAATGAAGTACACCTTCCTTGCATCCTATGTTCTCTGCAGTCGCCTTTACCCTGGTCCGACGATTTGCCTATAAACTTTCATCTCATACTGACAATAAAAACCCCTCCGTGTCACCGACTCGTCGTTTCCCCATAGGGGTTCCACTCGAGGATCTGTCTAGCGTGCAATCTCAAAGTGTGTATCCAATCCCCATCTACTTTGTTTTTCTACATATTTATTGGGTTGGCAAAAGCTTTTCGGTCGGTTTGTTGACTGACACAGCCCCGTGTTGGTTATCCTTTCCGGCTGGTCATTTGAGCCTGAATATCAAAGACAGCGAAGACAGGGATATCCTGGACCGAAGTGAAGCACCCAGAAGACCTGGATTTCACAGATGATTTATGTTTGATGTCACACAAAATCGAAGACTCACAAGCGAAAACCGACAAACTGGTTGAAGAAGCAGCAAAGACAGGACTCCAGGTGAACATAGACAAGACCGAGGTTGTGAAAATAACCAACCAACTAGCAACAACAACAACATCCAGCGCCAATCACCATCAACGGGAGGAATTTGGAAGAGGTTACTTCTTTCACTTATCTAGGGAGCATTGTCTCAACTACAGGTGGAACGGACGAGAATGTTAAATAGAGAATCGAGAAGGCGAGAAACACATTCATCAACCTGAAACCAATCTGGAAATCTTCGTCACTCAGCCTGCATCAACAACAAAATTCGGATTTTCAATACAAACGTCAAGTCAGTCAGTTCTTCTATACGGATGGATCAGAAACTTGGCAGGTCACAAAGAATATTTCCAACAGCCGGTTGCAGACCTTTATCAACAACTGTCTTCGCTGGCTCTATACTGAAGATCAGATGGCCAGAAAGAACAAGAACCAACAAGAAACTATGGGAACAAACGAAACAGGAACCAATCGCCCAACAAATATGCAGGAGATAGTGGAGATGGATTGGACACTCGCTGAGGAGGCCGCTGAGTGACATCGCGCGTCAGGCCATCACTCGAGTGGAACCCGAAATGGAAGCGGCGAGCGGGACGTCCAAGTGTGGGTGACATGGAGGAGATCGTGTGAAGAGGAGTTGAAACAGTATGGATTAACATGGATGCAAGTGAAAAGTACTGCAGAAGACAGAAGCAAGTAGAGACGTGCAGTTGAAACCCTATGTTCCTCTAGGAACCCAAGGGAACAATAATAATAATAAGTATAAGTTTATATTTTGCTTTCTATGTTGTCACTTCACTGAAACTTATCTCACTTAGTGTGTAAATATTCTATTTAGTTTATAGTAATTATGTTCTAATAGTTTGTGCGTCGGCGGCACAGCGGTAGAATGCTCGCCGACCACGCATGTGGACCGGGATTCGATCCCCGGCCACCGACGCACTCCTTTACCTAGCTAAGCCAGTAATAAAGCTGGTAAAGAGGAAAGGTTGGACATGAGGTGGCTAGCAACCCCATCCTGTAAAAATAAACACCACTGCTACCGAAACTTCCAGCCTTTAGCTTGAAGCCCTATGTTCCACTGGGAACGTGAAGGAATGAAAAAAAATGTTCTAATAGATAAGTATTATCCGTTGCACATGCTTTATTTTATATTCAACTCTGTGTTGAAAACTGTTTATCACTATATATCCAGACATTCGCGTGCTGTGTTAGACTCACCGTGGATTGCTTTCGCTCTGGTATTCTTGGGACAATTGTTTCAAGCTGGTCAAACATTGCTGATTACTTCAAGTGGCTTTTGGAGTTTTCTACATATATATAAAGATCTTATCGACGAACAGTAAGTCAGGACATAAATATTCTTTTTTAAGCGAAGTCACAGCATAGTTGGCTAGAGCCATCGTTCCAAGAGAACGCCTTTATTGTTATTACATCCCTGTTCCCCAGAAGTATGAGTTCATCCTCATATTCCCAACATAATATGAGCGAATAACCCGACAACAGTAACTGCTTTTAGTCTAAATGCCATTCAGACGATCTTTCTGGTGTGTTAGAATCACCGTCCCATCTAGTGTAGTTCGTTGAATACAGTTGTTTACTCACATAACAGGCTACGAGATATACCATTCATTGTATGAGTGTGAGGAGGTGGGAGCTGCTGATAGATAACACCAGTAATCGTTTAAGTAAGAGTGAAGTAGAAGCCCGCAGGATTCGAGATACTGAGATCTACTACTAACTGAAAATTCAGTATTTATGCCACTAAGGTCATATCTTACATTATGAAATACACTGATAAAACTACACTGCCTGACTGAATAAGTTGCAGTGCAGAACACTGCACAAGCCTTCCGCAGTTGAAATTACCACACTGCGTACAGGAAACAAAGCTAGAAAAACGCGACAAAATAAACATTTTAAACAATTATAATACGTATATATGTCTGATTTCCCACAAACTGGAAGATATGCAAGCGAAAAGCAACAAGTTGGCAGAAGAAGCATCAAAGATAGGAGGGACTTCAGGTGAACATAGACAAAACAGAGGTGATGAAGATTCCTGGCCAACACCACCAACAGCAACAACAACAACAGACAACGATCAGCCAGCATAAATGGGAGGAACCTGAAAGAAACAACCTCTTTTACCTACCTTGGAAGCATCGTTTCAACTACAGGAGGACGGAACTGACGAGGATATCAAAGCAAGAATCGGAAAAGCAAGACAAGCTTTCATTTCTCTCAAGTCTGTGTGGAGGTCAACAGTACTCAGCATGAAAAATAAGATCCAGATTTTCAACTTCAATGTGAAGTCAGTGCTACTATACGGATCAGAGACTTGCACTGTGCAGCATAAGGAGCACCTCAAACAAACTACTGGCATTCAACAACAGCTGTCTTCGCTCAATACTCAAGATCAGATGGCCGGAAAGGATCAGCAACAAAGATCTCTGGAAGCGAACCAACCAGGAACCGATTGTGAAACAAATAGGCAGGAAGAAATGGAGATGGATTGGCCACACTCTGAGGAAACCATCAAGTGACAACACTAGATAAGCCATTGCTCGAGTGGGACCCGAAAGTGAAGCGGCGAGTTGGTCGTCAGTGTAAGGGTGACTTGGACGAGGTCATGTGAAGAGGAGATGAAAGCATGTGGGCAGACGTGGAGCCAGGTGAAAACTCTAGCAGAGAACCGAACGCAATGGAGACGTGCAGCTGAAGCCCTATGTTCCTCTAGGAATTAAAGGAAATAATAATAATCAGGTGTACACAGGAGAAGGAATGATAAGATGGAAAAACATGAGGCTTTAACGGATAATGGGGGATTACAAGGAGTGAGTGCAACTGCTCCATTGACAGCGATTTTTAGCCATATCAGTCCAACAGTCTCATTCAACCAAGCAGTCTACACCTTCCTACGCGCCTGGCTCAGAGTGACAGCCAATCACTTTATTGATTGATGGCAAGTTCAAATGTGACCATCCAATCTAACTCTTTTCAAACTTAATCCTATGTCAGTTAACGACTGCTGGATGAGGAAAGCGGTGAGCCGGAATGCGTAACACGTATTGTCCTAGCCAATCACAACTTTATCGATTCTGTAGCTATATCTAGACCATACACTAATATAGGCATGATAAATATTATATATACAAACTCATATAACAGCATATAAAAAAATCACAACTCACTTTGTCTATACTTAAAGTAAAAGGTTGATTAAAGCAGAGATTACTACTTAAATCAGTAGTTAAGACGGCAGAACTTGGTCTTTGACACCAATGTATCACCCAACCATCAGTTTGGGAATTCGATGATGTATTATCAGTTAGAAAGGTGGTTTCATTCACTTGAAATTGATGAATCTAAAAAGAGGAAAGCTTAAAAATATCAATTGAGTAAAAGCTAATAGATGATGAACTTTATAAAACAATTAACTAAACAGCAGAAAAGCTATACTGCATGTAAATATTCGAGGCCCGACCGAAAGCTGCTACCTTGACGTGGTGGTCGGGCTTGAACACCGCAATGACCCAACAAGCTATACTGGCTGAGACTTATGTCGCTTGAGGTCCTACCATGCCAGAAAGGTTGTTTGGATAGCGGTTAGACAAAAAGCAGTTACCCAATCCAACGCTATGACTCAAACAAAATCACAAAATATCATGCCGGATCGGTCGGGGCCCGGATTAACAACGACCGCGCTTCCTGCTGCCGTGTCACAGGGCAGAAGTGACAAATATGCTACTGAGACACACCAAATAAAAAAGAACAAACAAAAACAGGCCGTGTGTGACCGGCCTCAAGCAGTTGTCCCCATGGGCTCTGGGGTCACGCAGCCAACTTTCACGGTGTGGGCAGCCGAGAAGTAACAATCGCCCTCACAATCCGAAATGCACAGACAGAAATATTCGAGGTGAATACAGGAGTAAGACAAGGCTGCTTGCTTATTATCAACAACGATGATATTGCTAACTGTGGTGGACTGGACTCTGCATCAGACTGTGCATGGGAGCGAGGAGACAGGAATACGCTGCACTGACCGATAAGAAGACACTGTCTAGAAGATGTGGATTTCGCGTGTGGATGATTTATGTTTAATGTCACACAAACTCGAAGGCTTGCAGATGAAGGCCGACGAATTGGTAGAAGAGGACTGGCTGGCAGCGAAGACAGGACTGCAGATGGACATAGAGAAAACGGAGGTGATGAAGATAACCAACGAACCGCAACAGCAACAACAATCGGCACCAATCAATATCGACAGGATAAACTTGAAAGAGGTTATAAGTATAAAACTTGGGCAGTGGTAGAGTATAACTCCATTATAGATAAGATTTTATTTTGATAAATCACACACACAGAAATGACTCAATGCAAATACCAGAAATATGGAAGATATTATTACCACCATTCAAATCAGAAGAGGATAATAAATAATCTTAAAATTCTATTTCAATTCAAACACATCACAACATTCTAACAAGTTACTTATTATGACTATAAAAAACACTCGTCGTATTTCCCATCTGATTGTATTTGATCAATAACACTCATATTATTATTTCTGAATGTACATTATCCCATATTGATTTTTATTCAAATGTCTAATCATCAATTCCACTCATGTATATAAATGAAGGAAAAAGGTTGTGTGAGTGACTTGATATGATTATGAGCAGTAATAAGTTGTGCTCGAAACGTGGTCATCAGTTAATATAACTGTACAACACTGTGTGATTTATCAAAATAAAATCTTATCCATAATGGAATGTCAAGTCGGTCCTCCTGTACGGGTCAGAAATTTGCACTGTGTACACGAAAGAGATTTCCAACAGGTTGCAGACTTTTGTCTACAGTTGCCTTCGCTAGTTCCATACTGAAGATCAAATGGCCAGCTGGCCAGAAACAGTTAGCAACAAGAAACTCTGGCAATAAACAAATCAACCAAGAGCCGATCGTCCACAATATGTATGGAAAATGGAGATAGATTGGGTAGACATACGCTGAGGAAGGAGGCCGTCGGAAGACATCGCGCGCAATGCATGCATAGATCGAGTGAAATCCAAATGGGAAGCGATGAGTGGGTTCTCCTTGGGTGACAAGGAGGAGATTTTGTGGTGAGGATGAGATGAGAGAGTTTGGGCAGTCGTGGACCCAGCTGAAGAGGACGGCAGAAAATAGAACAAAGTGGAGATGTGTTGGTGAAACCCAATGTTCCACTAGGAACCCAAGGGAATGATAAATAAATAAACATGTAAATATCAAGTGATGTATAAAACTTTGAAGGGAAATAAAAATATCATAATTAAGTTACCATACAGAAAAGTTCATTGAAGTGTTTAAAATGAAGGCATGAGTAAGACAAGACAACCTACTATCACCTGCCAATGACCATCTTCCTGATTGCGCTGAATTATGGATTTTACAGCACACCGTGGTGTGTGTAATGAGAAGGAGAACCTAACGCGAACTGACAAAAGCAAAACCTAGAAGATGGTGAATTTCACAGGGAATTTATTATATCTCATATTGCAAGAACTTAAAGATTTACAAGCGAAAAGTAATATGTTGACAGAGCAGACAAGATTTCCGAAGAACAAGGAGAGAAGACAGGAACAACAATCAGCAATCATCAATGAGAGGAATAGTTGGAGAAATCCTCTCTTACACTTCCTTTCACAAGCAGGATCCTTTTACCTACAGGCGATATGGATGAAGACGTTGAAGCGAAAGAAGTATAAGCCTTCATTATTCTGAATTCGACAGGCTACTGTAGACATTCTTCGACACATACCGCATCTCGCTGCCACGACAATGAATATCAGATAAAGAGTCTGTTTGGTTTAGTGCATATCGTTTCAGCGTCTTCCTATTGGGATGAACTCGAATAGTCGACCAGAAAGGATAAACAACAAGGACGTTTGAAAGCAAACCAACCAAAAAGCCATTGTCAAATCAACAAGTATGCAGCGGGAAATGGACATACCCTGAGGAGAACTTCACATGACAACACACACACCATACTTAAGTGCAAGCCGAATGGGATGCCAGCAGCGAGTTGAGTGTATGTTGCAGGGTAATACGGAGAAATTCATGTGGAAAGAGTAAAATGAAAGCATTTAAAAGGACGTGCCAACAACTGGAAATGACAGCAGTGAACAGAGTGAAATGGAGATAAACCACTGCACTTCTATGTTTCACTAAAAACGCAATGAGTGAATGAATAAATAAATAAATAATTGTTAGTAATGTTTTTACGAGTTGATCACAGATTGATATCAGTTAGAGAACTATTGAAAACCAGTACCGGAGTACTGGACACCTGTTTCACTCTAGTTTGGGAATCATCGGCAGTATGCACCCACTACACGGGTTCGAACCCAGGACCTTCCGGTTACAAGGCTAGCAAGCTCGTATACCATTCAGCCACTGGGATCCGATCCAATGGCCCATGAATTCTAACTTCTGCCTATCCACGACATGGTCCGACTACTAGCCAGTGTTATCGCTGGCGAGTATTTGTCCTCACAAACAACCTGCACTACCCCACTAGCGGAGCATAAAAACCTAGCAAAATCTAGATTAGTCGACCCGAATAAGATAAGAAGATCTGGCGAATAGTTCAGCCATACCACTCACTACATGCAGTTACACACAATCCTACAATATACGATGGGATGAGATGACAGTTTTAACATCCAATGTAACAGCTGGGTGGAGGGAGAAATTGATAATGGAAGCTTTGGATAGTGTTATTAGAATAAGACGGAGGTTATCTGAAAAATGTGATGTATTTGCGCTATACATTTTCGAACAATCTGATCCGTCATGCATTCACTTGTCAAGTCGATATATATATATATATATATATATATATATATATGAGAGAAAATTAAGGGCACTTAAAGTACACAAATTGACAAAAAGGATTTAAGAATTACAAGAATACTTAACACAACGTTTGATAATCCAACCAAATAAGGATTACCAAGGTAGGTTATGAGTAATAATAAACTGTTTTTGAATACACAGGGGGGGGCTTAAGTTTATGAATAGCTATAGCCTCAGAGTATTTCAATAAGCGCTCTTGTATATATACATATATATATATATATATATATATATATATATATACTAAAGTGCAATAATACAGGTGTATAGGATTATGAGTCACAATTGAACTGACTAGATATATGAATGAATAACTAAATAACTAGAGGTCAACCTAAAGTTCAATAAACATGCGTGAAATAGATGATCGGAAAATAAAGTGCATTAGGAAATGTGAATATAATATAATGGGGACATAGGATGAGTGAAATGTTGTCAAAGTAGTAGACTAGATAAAGTGTTATGTGAATTACATAGTAAAATCAAGGCCATGGTAACGAAAGAGATCGTACAGATTGTTTTTGTACTCAAAGTTCTGGTTTTATGTTATGTATTGCTAAAGCCTCTGCTATACAAAGCAAATGCCCTCGTCTCCTTTTCGGCAAACTTTGTAGGACCTTGTAGACTATATTAAATGATGTGTCAGATGCTGTGTGGTCAGTATCTACAATATCGATGTTGCAATATGGATGAATTAATATCTCTACGTTCTCCTTTGCTCAGCCAAACCGGGAAGTCTTCCCGAACGCGGCAGGATATGTTTCTCGACGAACGCCCTATGTTCCTAGCTCCGTAAGAGCAGGTGAACATATAAATACACATGGAATTAGACAATCGAGGTAACATTTCCTTGACATTAAAGTGCACCAGTGGACGGCTAAAGTAGGTTGTTTGTAACGTTTTTCTCAATGATCTCGTCAGACGATTTTTAAGTATTTCACTCGCAGTGTCACCCTAAATTCCAAGTTTAGGTGCAACACTTTTTTAACTATCATATCAATCTCTGTATTTCTTCCACGTACTTTGCTATTGGCCTCTACGAAGCGTAGTGGATACCTGTTCTCTATGAAGGTTTCCTTTAGTTGTTTGAGTTCATTATCAACACTACCTTCACTACGAATTCTCCGCACCCGTGTTGAGACAGAACGGATTAGATTCCTTTTTCTGTCTACGGAGACAAAACTGTAAAAATTGGTCAGTTGTCCCATCCACATCGATTTTCTGTAAACAGATCTTTTTCAAAGACCCGTCAGCTCTCCTTGTGAGTAGCACATCAAGGAAAAATATTTTTCCTTTGGTTTTCTTTTCTACGGTCGACTGGATAGCAGGACGACTATCAATGAATACTTTCAGAATGTCATTCAAGTCGCAGTTCTTGTCGCATATAATGAACATATTTTATAACAAAGACGATTTGATGCTTCTCTTCAGAGTAATCTACAGGAAGCCAACATGGAATAGTTAATGCACGAATTCTCACAGCTGCTGCTTCATCTGAGTCCTGGGACTATTCATCAGTGAGCATCAACAACTCTACAAAGGATCAAAACATACGACCATCAGGTTACGCGACCAGCTCACTGACGATTCAAATTGAAGGTCCTGAGTGAACGCCCTGGTTAAAATTGTTGAAACGTCTCCGACTGACCGAATGAGTCTGTTTTTTTATTGTAGAACTCGACAGAGAAATGTAGCATATCACTTCAGTCACATTCCGTGTAGAATTTAACCGTAGACAAAAAAATGGAAGGAATTATAATTTTTAAAATGTACGACAGAAGGAATAGTTACGTAGAGAATAATGAGAATGTACAGAGATCTGAGGGTTAATGAAGAGTGGATGTAACTGCGCCATTGAGAACGATTTTCAGTCATTTCACCAACAGTCTCCAGCCATTCTCGCCGAAGCACAAGAATAGAGTCCCAGGATTATAAATGTTCCAATGACCCTGAACGCATGCTAGCCATTGATTGAGGAAGCTTACCATTATTCTAGCGCTAAAATGAACCCTGTTCATGAGCGCAGAGGCAAATTCCATCCAGATCACGTTTTCCAGTACTGCCTAGATAATGGATTGATAGAACGTACTCGGATATGCTTCCATGAACCTCCAGTCGTATACCCAGGTCACAGATGGATATGTATTCAGATGTACACAGTGTATGAAGCGAATAAGTGTGCGTACTGTCTTTTAGGAACTTTCTTTGAAAAGTCGAAACTGTCTTTGACGAATACCTTGTTTCTGTCCAATTACTGGGTTTTAAATTCCGGGGTGCGATCTACTGCGGCTCAAACAGCTAATACGTTGACGTCTACTGTGCAGTGGTTTCAATTTTGTCGAGATGAATAGTATTACTCAGGTGTTGGGAGGAGTCGATGTAGTCGTCCATATCGATGAAACCGTTCTTATCAAGAAGAAGTACAATCGGGGGCGTGCCAGAGCGAATAACGTTTGGGTTTTAGGAATTTATGACACCCAGATTCGCAAAGGGTTTATCGAGCTGATTCCAGATTGGAGTACTGATACACTCCTCCCTATTATTCAGCGTCTCGTCTTACCAGGCACCACCATTCACCAAGATGAATGGGCAGTATACAACCGGTTATCGCAACTGGGTTATATACATCATCGAGTCAACCATTCCGATGACTTCGTCGACCCCAGGACCAGTACTCATACCAATTCAATCGAAGGCTTCTGGGGAAGACTGAAAAATAGAATCAGAGCGATCAACGGATCTCAAAACGAAGTTGTTTTCAGTCACCTACATGAATATATGTAGAGAAATTGGTTCAATTTAAAAACCGAAACCCCTCTACAAAATTGGGAGATTTTTTTATCTCATATTAGAGAAAAATATCCTGTTTATTGTTTTTTTATGTAAATATACGTAAAATTCTATGCAAAAATCGTCATTTTTCCTGATTGGTCGACTCAAAGTCACTCGTGCGTTCGCATCCCTTGGGACTCTATTGTAGAACTTTGCCCCATTCTCTATTGGCATCTTCATGACCTCAGCCAGGCAATCTACACCTCACTACACCGCCAGGTTAAACCGACGATAGAAGATTTCACAGATTGATTCCAGTTTTAGATTTAACCGTCCTACTGAACTCTTTTTCAATCTAATCCTATGTCAGATAATATCATTCGTCGGGAAAGACTGTGGATTGATATATGTAACAAGTTCCCAGAGAATTTCATTGGCCGACTGACTTCCCTACTTATGTGACATAGTACGCCTATTCTCAATATTATTACCCGCAATATTATAACACTTAACATGAGGGAGAAACAGGGATAGAATGCAAATATCCAAGGTCAAAGATATCGATTCTTTTCATGCCTGTCATCTTCAAATGTGAAGTCTCACAGGCAGAGTGACATGCTGCTCAGTTCACACGTCCACTGTTCGATAGCCGGATATCACGTATACGCCAGAGATGAGGGAGTTTGGCAAATGCCACATGGCCTTTGGGATGTGTGCTGAGATCTCATCACCGACCAGTCCATTAAAGTTGAGACAACTTCCTGAATAAGTGAAGAACTGGTCAACTCACTCAACCACTTCACTTTGTACCCATAGAATACGAGTCGATGCAGATACTAGTCTTGTAGCATCATCTTTAATTTGACTGGAATAAATCGAAGGCCAAAAATTTGAAAATTTCTGCTCATGGTGTTAAGAAGACGCTACACATCTAATTAACGTCTTCACCTAGGAAAACAGTATCATCCCCATACTCCAGGTCAACAAGATTGTTACCTGGTAACAAGTCAACCTCTAGGTCGATAAAGTCAGTTAGCGTAAATTCCATTAGTACATCAATGTGCGTCGGTGGCACAGTGGTTAGGACTCTCACCGACCATGCACATGATCCGGGCTTCGATCCCCTGCCGGCGCACACCCGATATCTATGATCGGCCTGAATTTGGGCTACCGATATCCATGCTGAAAATTCCACACTTGTACTGAAAATACGGTGTGGAATCAAGCTGTAAATCAAAATAAATTAAAAAAATAAAAATAAATAAGTAAACAATAGCAGAGAAAGTACCACCCCCACAATGTGATAACTTAACTGTACACCTACACAGAACAACTAATGCCAAAGTGAAAAGTTTTTTTTGAAAAAAAAACACATTGTCTTACCTTAGAAGGTGAATAAATAAACCCAGTATCACTGTCTTGACCACCGGAAGATGTGAAAAAATTAGTTTGTTCAAAAATAAAGCCTATTGAATCTTTACTAGTGATGTTTGAATGAGTACTACTCTCTTGAATTTCTGTTGACAATTTTTCAAGATATGAACTTAAATCCGTCTGATTTGTAATCAGTGTATAGGCTTCACCTGAAGGTATTAAAACTCCCAGTAAATGTGTTTGACAATCAGGAAAATCTGTAAAACAAAGAAACAAAAAATGAGAGATTTTGAATTTTTATCACGAACTGACATTAATTATAGAAGTATTGTTTACAAAGGAACATCACGGAGTACTGAACAAGTGTTTCTTTCTAGTTCTGTGTAACAACAGAAGACAAGGGCCAGGCAACAGATCGTTTATTAAGGAAATCAACACATATACATTATTATAGATTATTGTTAGCAGACAAACACAGTCTTCTGATTGGTTATTTCTCACTGAAAGTTAATCTTTCATCTCTTTGTGACTGTTTCTTGAATGTCAGATCATCTATATGCTAACTGTATCCGCCTACGCAAAGTCTTTGTTCTCATTTTTCTCACGATCAGTATTTGGGACATAAACACTGACGTAAATTACTGTCTACCAACTTTGGCTAGCAGCCAGCTCTCACCACACTCGTCCCCCCGTCAAAGATTTGCGATTGGAGTTGGTTCTAGGGGCTTTGTTCGTTCGTCTTGCTGTTTGGAATCGCGGCGCTCGTTGATGTTCACCTGTTTCTCTTTGTTTACCATTGCGACTGTGTCTGCGTAACCCCATCTCAAAGTGACCATATGTGGTCCTTCCCACTTTGGAAACTGTTTGCCTGATCCTATCGCACATTCGTTGGTATTTCGCCTCGCACTTCCATATGCTGCTTTCTCCCGACCTTCCAGCAGCATCTCAGGTAGCAGCCTCATCGCTGACAGATCTGACAGAACGCCACTCAACTGCGCAGAAGCCTCGAAATCCTGCCCGAAGATCCATATGTCTTCATCAAAAACTGCAGGGCATAGGCTTTCCATTTGTCCGTAGGCAGCGACACCAACTGTGACAACTGAAGACAAGGGCCAGGCAACAGATCGTTTGTTAAGGAAATCAACACATATTTATGCTAACTGTATCCGCCTACGCAAAGTCTGCTGTGGTTGGTTGTTGAATCAGTCTTTGTTCATATTTTTCTCACGACCAATATTGAGGACGTAAACATTGACGCAAATCACTGTCTAGCAACTTTGGCTAGCAGCCAACTCTCACCACACTGGACTTTTAAGCAGTACTCATGCATGACACCATCGGGGATCGAACTCCAAAACTTTAGCTAACGAGGCTGACGCGTTGAGCATTCAGATACTGGAACGGAGTCCAATGCCTTTCTACGAAATACAGAGCGTCACCACCAGCCAATGTCATCAGCAAGTACCTGTTTTTAAACATTCAACTCGATAAAAGTCCCTCGATCGTGACTTCTCACCAGAACTCGAAAATCACGCCTGCAGTCCATCACTAGTGACGTACAACCATAGTATAGTTGTAAAATAAGCTAAATAGACGGTATCTAACGAACGCCATGGCCCTTTAACTCAATAAATAACTCATGTCACATTTTTCTAGGCGACCATTTCACTTTTCCACTTCCCTAATGGTCTTAAACAGTTGACGAGCACTACGCAGGGTTTATACTTTTTTTTGCTAATTTTATCAACGACTGTTCGAAGTTGTTGAGAAGACATTGTTATCAGCCATTTTCTTCCGAACCTGCTAGGATCAATGTTCTTGCACATACAAAAATGCTTATTCGGGCTATAACAAAACCCAATTCCTTTGAAATAAAACTTAGCTTCAGACAACCAACTACCTTTCATTGCTATAAGTATAAAACTTGGGCACTGTGGTGGTAGAGTATAACTCCATTATGGATAAGATTTTATTTTGATAAATTACAGTGTTGTACAGTAAGTAATATTAACTGATGTGATCACGTTTCGAGCACAAATTATTGCCACTCATAATCATATCAAGTCACTCATTGCCATTTGTACAATGGACGAGACATAATGTCAGGTTATACGTTCGAATAACTAATTGAGTTTCCATATAGAGCTGATAAAGAGTGAACATTCTATAATAGTTTGTTTATTAGATGTATCACACAGTGAAGCAGTATTATTTACTGGATACATTAGTCAAGAAATATGTAAGGAAATGTAAAAATAAAATAAATAATAATAGTAGCGATAGTGATAGTAATGATAATAATAATAATGACGACACCAACAATAAGGAATCTAAATCATCAGTAGTAATTCCATACAAGGAAGGAACCTCGGAAACCTTACGCAGAATTCTTAACAAGGCAGGAATAAAAGTGACTGGCATTCAAACCAACCACAAACTCAATTAGAAACAAGCTTTGTCGGTTAGAGGATCAATCCTGTGGAGCCTTTAAAACAAAACAATTTAGTTTATCTAATACCCTGCCTGCAATGATTGTCAGGTCAAATACATAGGTCAAAGTAGTAGAATAGGTGCAGTTAGACTAGCCGAGCATAAAAACCTAGCAGCAAAATCTAGATTGGTTGACCCGAATAAGATAAGAAATCTAGAGAATAGTTCAGCTATAGCACTCACTACATGCAGTTACACACAACCATACAATAGGATGGATGGGATAGGATGACAGTTTTAAAATCTAATGTCACAGGGTATAGGGAGAGGTTGATAACAGAAGCCTTGTTTATCGAATCAACTGAAAGAGAATACGTGTAATAGGAATGATTCAACACCTGTCCATCCGGATATCTGGAAAATTCTACTACCCCAACGACGACGAATAGCAGAAGACAAAGAAAACTATAAATCTCAAGTTTCGAAGTCGTGTGATTATAATTGGCGATATGATTATGAACAGTAATAAATTTTGTTCGAAACATTGTCATCCAGTAAATACTAATACCGTTTCTTCACTGTGTGATACATCTAATAAACAAACTAATATGGAATTACATACTACCACAGTGCCCAAGTTTTACACATATACTAAAGAGTGAACATATCTGCGCAATCGAAAACGATTTCGAGCAGCGTCATCACTAGTCTCCAATAGAATGGTTCTTTACGCAAGGAAGACAACGATCAGGCAGTCTACACCTCTATATGTGGCTGGTTCACAACAACAGTCAAATACTTCACGAATTAGTGTCATGTTTTGATTTGGCTAACATACACCCTACCTAGCCCTTTTTTAAATCTAATTTTTATGTCGATTAACATTAACTGAATGAGGTAGACAATGGATTAGCATGGACAGCGCGTGTGTCTTAGGCGTGTCAAACGATTAAGTTTCCTAACATCATTGAGTGACTTCTCCATAACAATATCACTCACCATACTACATCATCTAATATGCAAATGAGTATCATTCGTGTTGGTCAGAAAATATTTTTGATTGCACACTAATCAGCAACTAGTGTAATGTGTCTAGTCCCATCTTCGGTGCAAACTGAATTCTATCAGTCATGTTTGCAATGTGGCCACCATGCTAGGTGGCTCGCCATTACGGTGCACTATGAGCCACCTAGCATGGTGGCCACATTGCAAACATGACTGATAGAATTCAGTCTGCACCGAAGATAGGACTAGACACATTACACTAGTTACTGACTAGTGTGCAATCAAAAATATCCAATACAGTCCTACAGGAGGTCAGTCGCGAGCCTGAATAGCTCAGTGGTAACGTCTCTGACTGCAGCACTGACGCGGGTTCAAATCTCAGAAGGGACATCAGTTCCTTCAAGGTTGCAGATACGCCTTGCTGATGAGTGCCAACTAGCACGAAACCTAGGTCAAGCAAGGCTTCTTGCCGATTGCCTCCAACCATCTAATAGTCAGATAATATTTAGCTAACTTTCTCTTCAAATTCAGACATAACATTCCCATAAGTAGAACTAACTTACCATATTGACTATTTGTACAGCTAACAACAGAATCTGATTTACGCTGGAAGTTGTATTTCAGTGAATCATTTGTGAACGGTACATTTGAATTGTGCAATTGACGTGAAATAACACTGGCTGCATTTGATGCCTTGAAACGTTTAAATGTTGACAATTTTGATTGATCGTGTGAAGATTTCCCTTCAGTCGATAATGGCAAGGGAGGGAGAAGACCAGCCCATCGTGATTGTGCGCATATCATATCCCAGCTTAAATGATAACCGTATTCACCATTCATAAGCTTCATTACTTGTTCCGCTAGATGAATAATGATAATAATAGTAATAATAATAATAATACTCTTAGACAAGCATGTTTCATCTATTTTTAAGTAAATTCACACATTCCGTCATATGTGCTGGACAGAGATCAAAGTATTTAGTTTGCTTTTTGATCGGAACCCGACCAGTGGTCAGATTTGCATATCGCAATCACTCAACGAGATACTCTGGCTGGAATAAATGTCCCTGCAGGTTGCTTGGTTAGCGGTTTTTCGGATTGGATTAGAGAGGTTTCGCGTGCATTTCGGATAGTGAGGGCGATTGTTACTTCCCGGCTGCCCACACCGTGGAAGTTGGTTGAGCGACCGCAGAGCCCAGGGGACAACTGCTTGAGGCCGATCACACGCGGCCTGTTTTCACTTGTTGTTTTTCATTTGGAGTGTCTCAGTAGCATATTTATCACTTCTCCCTGTGACACGGCAGCAGGAAGCGCGGTCGTTGTTAATCCGCGCCCCGACCGATCCGGCATGATATTTTGTGATTTTGTTTGAGTCATAGTATTGGATTGGGTAGCTGCTTTTTGCATAACCGCTATCCAAACAACCTTTCTGGCACGGTAGGACCTCAAGCGACATAAGTCTCAGCCAGTATAGCTTGTTGGGTCATTGGGGTGTTCAAGTCCGACCACCACGTCAAGGTAGCAGCTTTCGGTCGGGTGGTTAGAGGTTACACCAAAAGTAGTTACTACCACAAGAGTGTAAACCGCTCATATTGTGCTGAGTGTCTGGGGTGGAGTTGTACTACTGGAGAATAAGGAGATGTGACAGCAGTAGGATGTTTCCTTCGGACAATCAACAAGTTAGCTATGTCATTCCACCACTCTCGTAAGGGGAAAGTGCGATAGAAACGGTCGACTTCGAAAGCTGTACATCCCGAATGACCTTTTGAGAATCCGCGGCTGACGGCAGTGTGTTCAAAAGGAAAGAACTCAACGCTCTTGTTTTTTACGGTGTGTAGTTGCTAACCTTGAACTCAATTTCCCCTGTTTTCTCCAAGCTTACTGCTAGCTACTAGTAGACAAGGTAGGTTTCAGGAGTGCTTCGTAAGGAATTGGAACTCGTGCCACCCTGCCATGATTGGTGGGCATTCTACCTATCATCATTGAACTGCCAACCCACCCAGATACACCACTACTATATATCAAAATTATGCAGAACGACGACAACAACAGAAGGAATATAAATAGACCTCCCTGTTTCTCTGCCTTACTCGACAATTGTATTTCATTATTGCATTCTTCTAAACATCGGTTAAATGACTGCTCCATTTGTAGTAACCGAGGTGCGAAGGAAGTTAATTCTTCATTGACGACAGATTCCATCTATGCAAATAAAACAAAAACAACAAGTGAAAAGAAATGAGAAATCTTTAAATACCCACCAAATTTCTGCTAATCTTAAAACAATTGCAGTTTGCAGAACTCAAGGCAGCAGAAAACACAGCCGTATACATGTCATCAATCGACTTGACGGCTATTGCATTTCCGTATCGAATACGAATCCCTACAGTATTATTATTCAGAGTCACTGTAATACATACTGTTTGTCTGTCTGTCTGGATTCAACATAGAAATTGGCACTGAAGTGCAGCAGTTCGAGTTGCCACGTTCCAAATAGCACACAAAGGTAGACAAGAAAATGAGTGAAAAGAATCAATAGAGTTTTGACAAGTATAAGAGTGAAACAGAATGAGTAATGGTAGAAAGGAATATGAAAGATTACAGAGACTGAATACATCTGCGTAAGCCATTGACAACGATTTTGAGCCATGTCACCTATTGTCTCCAGCCATTGATTCTTAGATTCCCGAGGGCCCCAACCCGGAAGTCTGCATCTCCCTACCTGACTCAGTTTATCTGTCAAGGATTTCATGGATTGATGAGGCCATGTTTTCGTTCGGCCACCACTTACTCTTTTTCAACCTGCACCTATATCAGCTAGTAATGCCAGTCGTCGGGGGAGGCGATGGTTAGGCATGCGCAGCACCTGACCTAGCCATCTCAATCTATATAATTTTATAACCTTGTCGATTGATTTTCCCTCTTTGCCCAATACTCTACACCTGACGTCAACATTGCTTACCTCATTATACCACCTAACGGGAGAAAGAAATCGTAGACAGCTGTGATCAAAAACAGTCAACCTTTTCATGTCTTCAACTCGTATTGGCCATGTTTCAGAGCCATAGAGAAGGACTGCTGAGCAGTACACACGTCCCTTGGTTGATAGTCGGATGTCACGCCTACGCCAGAGATGGTGTAAGTTAGCGAAAGCAGCTCGAGCTTTTTGGATCCGTGCTGAGATTTCGTCGTCAATCAATCCGTTGGTGCTGATACAACTTCCCAAATAGGTGAAGTGGTCAACATGTTCTATCACTTCACTCCGTATCACTAAGCTAGGAGTTGACGTAGTCCAGTCCTGTAGCAGCATCTTACATTTTACAGGGGTAATACATACTACTGAACAGAAACAAAATTATGAAGCTTGGTGACCCCAAACAACGCACACTTAACGACGAAGTAATTCAGCTACTAGCTCCATCACTAAAAATAAGGATAAGACACAAGACACTGGTGTCGTCACCTGGTGACGAATCGAAGCATGTATAATAGTCCCTACAACAACTCAATAATAACTTAGTGATAATGTCCTTTACTGCACAATTGAATGACACGGGGGATATCAGTTCCAACATGGTTTCACATACACCACATGCTGACGAGTCCTAGTCAGTAAGCAAGAAACCAAGGTCCAAGTTGGATGGGTGATTATCGAATTCTTTCGAGAGTTCTCAGGCACACCTTGAAATGTGACACTGGTGCAAATAAGCGCTAAACCCAGATTAGAGAAAAAGGGATCCCCTGACGATTGCCTACAACCAATTAACATTTTAAAATAAGCAATAACAACAACAAAAGATATTTTTAAAAAACGAGTAAACCTACTTGTTCAGGTGTCAAACCATCTGAATTCCCACTGGAATTAGGTCCCCTTACAGCATTCATACTATTAAAATAGGCATGAAGTCTGTGAACATGTTGTTTAGCTACTTGACACACTAAAGCACCAAGTAGAGATTTCACTTTCTCCGATGAATTCCTGTCGCCCACCAGACAGTTATCAAGACCAGTTAATGCTGAGGCACGAAATGCTCGATACATTAGTTGGCGGATTTTAAGCGATAAACCTTGCCGTCCAGGTAGCAGACCATCAGCTAAGGCAAATGCTATAGCCCGACTATGATCCACTAATATTCGATAAGCTGTATCTCTATGCCATACATCCAAAAGATCATTTTGGCCATTATGTCTGTCTTTCCAAGACTGGTCTGAAGCAAGATGGGATTTTGAACAAAGAGCCTAAAATTATATATGCATATAAATGACACTCAACAATAGGAAGAATTATGAAGGACAAATACAATTAAACCTCTGCGATAAATATGCAAAGAAGATCATAAGCCTATGAGTGAAACTAATGATTTTGAGTTGGCTGACGAACTGACACATCAGAATGAGAATCACTAAAACACAGATGAGAGCATCGGAGAGCTGTTTTGGTGGTCGCCATCTTTGGCATCAGTTCACTACCGGATTGAACTCAGGATGATCTCCAAGTTACGAGGCGAAACTGTTCATCATTCTCACCCACTGGGATGGAATTCAATCACTATTCGCGCGGTATACATGGCGCCATACCACCGTCACCCAATAGCATCAATGAGTATTTGTTCTCAACACCCGACAACTTGATGCACCCCCCCCCACTGGTCACAACTCTTCACTAGAACTCCAGGCAGCTTCGTCCTAGGTGGTTAGTCGATCTTCTTGCAACAGATTTAGTTATTTGTGGAAGATGTAGGGGCGAACGATATGCGTGATAACAACTTTCAGGTGTAGTGCACAACTCTAAAAGCGATGTTAGTGTATCGTATTTATTTATCAAGTATAATATGATAGTACAGGATTTTTCGTGTTTTCGACTACAGCCTTCCAGAACCAAGCTGATAAATGTTCTCAAATCCCTAGGCGAACATTTTTACTCAGACATTTGATAACAGTAGTTGCTAGCATCACACGACCAACTTTCCTCCTTTCCTTAGCTAAACTGGACGAGGTGCAGTAGTGAGCACCGGCCGGGAATCGAATCCTGACCACTCGTATAGCTGAAATAATTGTGTGTCGGTGGTACAGCGGTTAGTTCCACATTAGTTTGTTTATTAGATGTATCACACAGTGAAACAGTATTATTCTTAACTGGATAACAATGTTTCGAACGAAATTTGGTGTTCATAATCATTTTATCAGTCATAATCACACGACTTCGAAACTGGAGTTTTAAAGCTTTCTTTGTTCTCTCCTATTTGTCGTCGTTGGGGTAGTGGAATTTTCCAGATATCTAGGACAGGTGTTGAATCACTCTTATTACACGTGTTTGCAGTTGACTCGATAAACAAAGCTTCTGTTATCAACACTAGTCCCAGATATCTGGAAAATGTTACTACCCCCACGACGAATAGGAGAGAACAGAGAAAACCATAAGACTCAGGTTTCGAAGTCGTGCGATTATAATTGATATGATTATAAACAATAAATTGCGTTCGAAACATTGTCATCCAGTAAATAATACTGTTTCACTCACTGTATGATACATCTAATAAACAAACTAATATGGAATTACATACTACCACAGTGCCCAAGTTTTACACTTATATTAGTACAGTGGTTAGGACTCTCGCCGACCATGCACACGGTCTGCGGTTCGAACCCTTACCGACGCACACCTGATATCAATCGTCGGCCTGCACGATTTGGGCCACCGATATCACACGCTGAAAAATTCCATACTTGTACCAAAAATACAGTGTGGAATCAAGCTATAATCAAAAATAAAAATAAATACAGGCGATAGAAAGTGAACTACACGAATAGTTAAAACGGTATGCGCATGAGGCGAAGCTAAGATTATGTAGGAGGTCTTTTAGGGTCTTTTCTGGGTAAACATTGAACCGCTACTAATGGTAAAAATGTTCGGAATATGAAAGCCCAGTTCATCGCTCTGGTTAGACGTTGACATAGAGTCTGTGTAGGAGTATCGCCGTTGAATCGCAGACGCAAAACCAATAGCTTTTTCTCCAGTGCTGTCAGTTCATGTCTGAGACTGTTTTATGTTGAGTTTTATAAACTCCTCTGGACATCAGTTCTCCCTTAAGTAATATAATAAAACCTTGAGAAAATGCAATGAATCATTATGGTGTCCTACGTAGGTGAAGTGTATCTCTAAGTAAAGTGGATAAAGATTAAATAAATCATAACGAAAAAACGACGACTTTCTACTCACACAGCACATCTATTTCTGTCCTTCAGTAGATATTTAATATTCACCTTGAAACTGAAACACATTATTATATTATTATTATTGTTTCCTTTAATTCCTAGAGGAACATAGAGCTTCAGCCGTGCGTCTCCATTGCGTTCGGTTCTCTGCTAGAGTCTTCACCTGGCTCCATGTCTGCCCACACGTTTTCATCTCTTCTTCACATGACCTCCTCCAAGTCACACTTGGACGACCAATTCACCGCTTGACTTTCGGGTTCCACTCAAGGGTTTGTCTAGTGATGTCACTTGATGGTTTCCTCAGAGTATGGCCAATCCATCTCCATTTCTTCCTGCCTATTTGTTTCATAATTGGTTCCTGTTCTTATAGTTTAAGTTATACAGGGTGTGGGATTAGACGCATTCGTCTACAGATTTTAAAAACCTTTATCAGACTAGTTTATTTATTTGCACTACGAGTTGAAAACAGGGATTCAAGCTTCTTTTTTTTAAGTTTTGATAACAGTAGTTGCTAGCACCACACGACCAACTTTCCTCCTTTCCTGAGCTAAACTGGACGAGGTGTAGTTTAATGCACACCGGCCGGGAATCGAATCCTGACCACTCACTTGTATAGATAGCTGAAGAGTATTTTACTATAGAATCACTGACACACACACACACACCTGGTAGTAGATGATGGTTACAGTCAATTCAAGAGACACTCCAATGCTCATAAAAAGTTCCTTTCTCTATCACACTTGAAAGATACAGGACATTGAATTGACACTGAAAGTAAAGAGAGGGAAACAATTGTGAAAGGTTGACTTACACTCGATGTTGATGGTGACGATATATGAGATAGTGTATGCCACAAAGAGGTGAATGCATTCGCCGACTGATCACCTCCTTCTTTCTGTAATGATTCACTGGTATGTGTTTTCTCTAGTAATTCTTGTTGATTAGATAAGAAAAATAGACCTTGATATTCAGGTACAATCGACTGACCAGATGAATTAGCTTTCGAATGGATGAACTCCATTAATTCATGAAAATCATGCGAATCATAATTCGATGTGATACCCTATGGGGAAGTCAAATAGTGCAAGAAAAAGTTATTTTTTTAAAAAAAAGATTAATAATATAAAATATACTACTGATGGTAATGATAATAAGAATAATAATGGGTTAACATTAGGATCATATTTATATATGTGTAAAACTTGGGCACTGTGGTATTAAGTAATTCCTTATTCGTTTGTTTATTAGATGTATCACACAGTGAGTGTGAAAGAATATTATTTACTGGATGACAATGTTTCCAACACAATTCACTTATTGTTCATAATCATTTCATCAATTATAATCACGCGACTTCGAAACCTGAGTTTTATAGTTTTCTTTGTCTTCTCCTATTTGTCGTCGTTGGGGTAGTAGAATTTTCCAGATATCGGGGATAGGCGATGAATCATTCCTCTTACATGTATTTGTAGTTGATTCGATAAACAAAGCTTCTGTTATCAATCTCTCGATCCACCCTGTGAAATTAGATTTTAAAACGGTCATCCTATCCCATCCATCCTGCTGTATGGTTGTGTGTGATTGCATGTAGTGAGTGGTATAGCTGAACTATTCTCCAGATTTCTTATCTTATTCGGCTCAACTAATCTAGATTTTGCTGCTAAGTTTTTATGCTCGGCTAGTCTAACTCACTGCACCTATTCTACTAGTTTGACCTATGTATTTGACGTGACAATCATTCCATAACAGTATTAGATTTAATTTAATTTTTTTTATTACAGCTTGGTGCCACACCGTATTTTCAGTACAAGTATGGAATTTTCAGCATGGATATCAGTAGCCCAAATTTACAGGCCAACCATAGATATCAGGTGTTCGTCGGTAGGGGATCGAACCCTGGACCATGTGCATGGTCGGCGAGAGTCCTAACCACTGTGCCACCGACGCAGATAAATGGTTTTGTTTTAAAGGCTCAACAACAAAGCATGTTTCTAATTGAGTTTGTGGTTGGTTTGAATACCAGCCACATTTATTCCTGCCTTGTTAAGAATTCTGCGTAAGGTTTCCGAGGTTCCTTCCTTGTATGGAATTACTACTGATGATTTAGGCTCCTTATTGTTGGTGTCGTCATTAATTTTATTATTATTATTATCACTATCGCTAATATCATTACTTATTTTATTTTTACATTTCCTTACATATTTCCTGACCAATTTATCCGGGTTTATATTAAGTTTCAAAGCTTCTTTTATGTGTATCACTTCCTGTCTTAGATTTTCCTTGGTGCTGCTTAGTTTCTGTGCTCTGTCACTTAAACATTTCACTAATCCTATTTTCACTGACATAGGATGGGATGATCGGAAGTCCAGATATCTGTTTGAATATGTGGGTTTCCTGTAAACATTAGTGTTTAACTTCCCATCTTCTTTCCTTTTTACTCTACAACCTAACATTGGAAGCTCCCCTTCCCGACTTTCCAATTCATAAGTAAATTGAATTGCCTCTACCTTCGAGTTAATGTGTTCGAAAAATCTATCTATATCCTGTGTTTCAAGTTCAGTGAATGTGTCATCTACATCATACCTCCACCATACTTTTGGGGTGGGGCTGAATGTTTCAATCGCTATGTTTTCCCACCTATCCATGAATATATCCCCTAATAAGATAAGAAATCTAGAGAAAAGTACAGCTATAGCGCTACTTGCAATTACACACAACCATACAATAGGATGGGCTAAAATGACAGTTTTAAAATCTGATGTTACAGGGTGGAGGGAGAGATTGATAACAGAAGCTTCGTTTATCGAATCAACTCAGAGAGAACACGTGGAATAGGAATAATTCAACACCTATCCACTCAGATATCTGGAAAATAGGAGAAGACAAAACTATAAAATTCAAGCTTCAAAGTCGTGTGATTATAATTGATATGATTATGAACAGTAATAAATTTTGTTCGAAACGTCATCCAGTAAATAATACTGTTTCACTTACTGTGTGATACATTTAATAAACAAACTCATATGGAATTTAGGACCATAGTCACTAAATTTGGGACCTAGGCATAACACCTCCAGTTTAAACTTATTAAGCACGACACTGGAAAAATTGCGAACACACCGGCCCGGAACTGAGGGAAATTTTCTTTCAACCATTTCGCTTTCAAGAGATTTGACAGGACTCATCCTTTTACTATTTCTTTTGTTTACTGTTACGTTATTAACACATATTCCATGAACATCAGTTGTAATTCCTGAGGTAAATCATCAACTGATACACTTGTCTCAGCTGATGGGAATGTAAACATAGACGAATTGTTGCTGAAATTCAACAACCTCCAGCGAAAATCATGGAACACTACCGGACAACTGTTCCATTCTACTTCTTTGGGAGTCTTTAGCATCCATTGGCTGGCCATGACGCTGTACATTTTGTTTTTGGCGAATTGACATGAGTTAGAACACATAGCCTCACCATTGGATACTGTTCCAGCGGGCTGAATAGTTAGTTAATGAGCTTGTCTCGTGAACTGAATGTTTTGGGTTCAGAGCTTATTGGAATGACGATTGCGCAACGCTGAGAGATCTCAAAGAAGGATGATACAGCTGTCCAGTGCAGCAGTCAGATTTTAATGACTCTCTAACCGATATTAATTGGTTCATGATGAAGTGGTTATTCGAATTATTATCTACACTACAGATAAAACTATGGATTTGGATTGATGACTTCAGTGTAAATTTCGCTACTAACTAAAAGGTGTTAAAGAGCATCAGAAACTCAAAGGGAGTAGTTGGCAAATGTAAGGTCTTCTTCCTTCATTAGCACTTTTCAGCAGTGATCACCCATTCCCCCACTACTCTGGATGACAACTTAGCCAATTAGGTTAGAATTGAATAAGTCATGAATTATTACTTTCCAATCCGGGTGTGTGCTGATGAAGATTCCTAAGAATATAGGACGAAACGGCTATCCAGTGCTACCTGGATTTTCAATGATCTCAAACTGATGTTGTTTCGTGACATAAGCAACACTAAGATTATTCACATTTTTATTTGACTTTTTTAAAAATATCAAACTGACCTGCATCACACAAGCTAACCTCTCCAATCCCATGCCAGTGTCTACAAATGTTTTAGCTAGTGGTACAAGTTGTTCTGGTTTTATGTGATCTTCAGCAGCACTACTGTTATTATTATTATTCTCATTATTAGGCAGAATACGATGCGTTATAAATACACAATTCCACAGCTCTACAACTTGTGGACTAACAGTATTCACTAGACATCTCGCACAGTCCAATTGATCCCCACCAGTCAGTGCTTTGAAATCAATGTGAACTTCTGTTGATGGACCACACAAACCCCCACCGCTAGATTGACTTGCACGCCAAAAATTTGATTCAATACCGAATGGCATTAACTTTTGATCCATTACACTGAGAAAAAAATATAATATACATATAAAATATAATATAACATAAGAAACATATTTCTAATAAACTATAGCAGATTTCCATTAACACATTCCCCGTCCGCTTCACTGGCTCAATAATACTGAAGATCAGATAGCCGGCTGACCAGAACGCATAGGCATGTAACAAAGAACTCTGCCACTCAACGAGCGGATGGATTGGAGACCGTTGAGTGACATTACGAGTCTGTGTAGGACTTCGAGAGAGGAGACCGGACGGGGGAAGGTGAGTGGAGCGTGAGTCTAAGGATAGCGTAGAGGAAATTGAGTGAGGAGGAGGATATGAAAGCTTACGGACCAGCGTGTAGCCACCTTATAAAGACAACCTGGAGGAGAGAGAGTGAAATAAATATATGTGTTTGAAGATTTACGTCCCACTCGGTATCTAAAGGCTAAATAATTATTGGTTGAAGATGGCCATTATAAATCCCAAAAAGACTGAGATAATTGAAAGAAGAATTCATGTTCTGACCAGACTGGCATTGTAAACTGAAGGTAATAAGTTGGATACCCTGGTAGGGTCATGAGTGCGTACCAATCAAGAGTTACACAGAAAGAGGATGAAACAGCTCGCCGTTACTCTCAGGTGATAGTTGTCAATGGATCTCAAACTGATGTTTCAGTCAATGCGTCACCAGTTCCAGTCCGCTCTACCTACTTCAGTCAGGAGGCAACTACCGAGTTGAATAACCAGCTCTGTCTACCACACACACACACACACACACACACACACAAGGTGTGTCCTTTAACTTGGTACAAAATGAATATGCTTAAATCATACATAAACAGCTCAATAGCTTAAAAATTCATTTTTCAACTGACCTTAACGTGAACTGAAGGTCAAGTCGATAGATCTATATTAGTATAACTCATCTGATCAAGTAGATAAATAAGTAATTGATTGTTTTGTGTACTTTCTACTGATATTGCCTTTCCCATGGAGAGATAAATCTTTAGCCTGCCTGTATATTGACTTTTGTGTCTCCACAGTGTATGGAGTCCAGACGATCATTTATATAGTGCTGTGTGTTGACATAGGATTAATAATGAACTCACGAAATCCCGTAATCATCATTATCATCATCACTCACTTACTGACAAGGGATGCAGGTATCCTAGATTCTATGTTATTTTTTATTCGTTCACGTTCCCAGTGGAACATAGGGCTTCAAGCTACAGGCTTGAAGTTTCTGTAGCAGTGGTGTTTATTTTTACAGGATGGGTTTGCTAGCCTCATGCCCAACCTCCCCTCTTTACCAGCTTTATTTCTGGTTTAGCGAGGTAAAGGAGAGCGTCGGTGGCAGGGGGTCGAACCCCGGACCGTGTGTATGATCGGCGAGCGTCCTAACCGCTGTGCCACCGGCGTACAGATTCTATGCACTGATGGCCAAAAAACACAGTATGTCAACCACTTGATAACATCAAAGCATCCGTACTAGGCAAATGATATGTCAGCAAAGATAGAGGTGATGAAAATAATTAACCAACCAGCAAAAAAAACAAGGACCTGTTACTATCAGCGAGAGAAATCTAAGTGGAATCACCTGTTTCCCATATCAAGACAGTGTTGTTTTAGCTAAAGGATTACGATGTTAAAGGCAGATTAGGGGAAAAGCCAGACAGACAGACAGACATATATTGCTTACTCTGAAATCAGTGTGGAAATTTCTTACACTCACTCAGCAGAGAGAACAAGATTCCGTGGTTTTGACACTGGTGTCAAGTCAGTCCTACTGTAGGGTTCAGAGACTTCATGTCTGCGTCAAGAAAGCATTTCCAACAGACTGCAAACTTCTATCAACATCTGTCTTCAATAGCCAGCCCAAAAAAGGATATACAACAAGAAACTCTGACAACCAGATAGCCAACAACCTATCGCCCGACAAATATGCAGGTGCAAATGTAGATGGACTGGACATCCGTTGAGAAGACATACAAGAGATATTGCACACCAAGCGGTAGATTGGATCCACAGTGGGAAACAATGAGTTGAGCGTCCGAGGATGACATGGGGGAGATCGTGTGAGAGACAGACAGCTTATCGACAATCACGGAATATGCACATTGGATCGTAGGAATTATTGAGAAGACAGTTGCAGCGAAGAAAATTTTCTTCTCGACGAATTCACCGTCAACTAGGCTGTACATTCGTGTATTTATAATAAATGGGTAGGAAAGTTCTAGAATAATTTCGGGTCAAGCGTCAAATTAGTAAAATTACAATTAGAAATTAAAATCCCATAATACACAAGGGGACGGGTTAAACCCAAACAAAGTAGCATAATAATAACTAAGAAGATTGACGTATTGTGCAATTAGGGTTTAGAAATGTAGAAACAAAAACAATAGACAGGATGTTTGGATAACAAAATCTAGTGGGGTCATAACTAATGTGACGAATAATTGTTTATGCAGTCAGAGATCAAATATGTAGAAATAATAAAATGACAAAATAGACAGGAAGTTCGGATATGAAAATATGGTAGTGTAAATAGGGATTAAGAAAAACTTAAAAATAACATGAATAAACAGGAAGTTTGGATAAGAAAGGCAATGAGATAGTCACTATTACAAGAATTACCTGTTTATGATGGCCATGGCAGGGACAGGAGTTGGACGTATTTCTTTTGGATACCTAGCGTGGATAGCTAGTGCCTCGGCTATGCCCAAATGTCTTGATTTTACTCCCTTCGAAGGGTTTGATCGAATCTTGTATACTATTTCGAAGGATTTTTCGAATGGCGCTGAATGTCCTGAATTGACCAGATATTCTGTCACTTGAATTATATACACGTCTTCGTTCTCCTTTTACTAGTCAGGCTGGATAGTGTTTACAAGCGCGTTTTTCAAGTCGGCGCATGGTAAGGCCGATGTACTCAGCCTCAGCACGAGCAAGTCAACTGGTTGAACAGTTTGTTGCAGGAAAACGTCAGTCGTAGGCTCGAGGCGAAGTATGTTTTCCTCAGAGATTTGCAGAGACGTTTACGAAGGATTTCTGCTTCAATGTCACCTTTGAATTCTAGATTCAGCAGAAGTGTCTTCTTCAGGACGGATTGAACTTGTTCGGAAGTCTTCTTTGATTGGAGATTCTTGTCTATGAACCGTTTTCCATCAGGGTTCTTCGGAGATTACGCAGTTCTTCGCCAATCTTTTCCTCGCTGAATACCTTCCGAATCCTCTAGGTAACAGCGTATATCAGGTTCCTCTTTCTGCTTAGGGGCACGAAGCTTTGAAAGTTGATGAATTGTCCATTCCATGTAGGCTTTTCGTATATGGACCTTCTCAGAGAGTTGTTGGCGTTTCTTGTCAGATGGACATCGAGGAAGTGGAACATACCGTCGGATTCAGTCTCAAGTGTAAAGTCGATGTTTGGGTGAGCGTCACTGAAAATTTGAAGTAGGTTTTTTCAGATCACAATTCTCATCACAAATAATGAAAGTATCATCGATGTATCTTTTGTAGAGATGCAGGTCGTCGATAGTTGATGATAAGGGGTTGTTTTTTGTGCTGGCCATACAGCAGTCAGCCAGGAGAGGTCCTAGAGGAGAACCCATTGCTAATCCATCTACTTGCCTGTATATTTCCTTGTTGAAACTAAAGTATACGTTGAAGGTGCATCGACAATCGCGGACTTCTCGCCACGTAAAGGCGACTTCAGAGAACAGGATGCAGCGGTGATGTTCCACTCGGAACCCAAGCAGAATAATCATAATATAAACTAATTAACGTAAACACAATGAAGAAACAAACAAAAGAAGTCTGATAACTTACCCTAATCTTAACCAAATATTACGTGTTTCATCGTCTGGTGGAAGTCCTATTCTCTGATCACCGCCAAAATATGTGATATAAATTGAATTGGTCGGTAGATTCAGTACTTCGGTAAGAAATTTCCAAACTAATGCGCATGTTTCTTCCTTTCATTGGGAAACAGAATAAAAGCAAAAAAAACAAGCAAATCAACAAAAGTTTTCACATATATATTCAACAACTAGGATTACCAGGAGAGACGGTTGATAAACTCAAAGAGAAGACTAATATTTCACCTCAAATTGAAGTAAGCACTAAAGTGAGACTAGTATGTACTGCCTGACATAGTTGTGAATAAATATTCGCTCTCTTGTTGTGTGTGTGTGTGTTTTCTCTCGAGCCGTGATCACCGTAGCCTTACAAGTCGTGTGATTATTATCAAGGAAATAATAATAATTTAAGAGAAATATAAAAATGTATACCTAGGGAGGGATCCTATGATTATGCTAAGCTACTGTCTGTCTGCATTCAACATAGAAATTCGCACCGAAGTGCAGCAGTTCCAGTTGCCACGTTCCAAGTAGCACACAAAGGTAGACAAGAAGATGAGTGAAGAGAATCAATAGAGTTTTGACAAGTATAAGAGTGAAACAGAATGAGTAATGGTAGAAAGGGATATGAAAGATTACAGAGACTGAATACATCTCCGTAAGCCATTGACAACGATTTTGAGCCATGTAACCTAGAGATTCTTAGAGTCCCGAAGGCCCCAACCCGGAAGGAGTCTGCATCTCCCTACCTGACTCAGTCTAACTGTCAAGGATTTCATAGATTGATGCCATGTTTTTGTTTGGCCACCACTTACTCTTTTCCAACCTGCACGCATATCAGCTAGTAATGCCCCTCGGGGGAGGCGATGGTTAGGCATGCGCAGCACGTGACCTAGCCATCTCAATCTATGCAACTTTATAGCCTCGTCGATTGATTTTCGTGCTAAGCTACATGCTCAATAGTATGTCTCGTTTTAAAACCTGGCTAGTTTTATACATAATAACATTACGTAATCACAGTGGCAACACTTACCAACTTCTATGAGTCCGATTAAACTTGCTTCTCTAGGAGAATGAAGGGAAGAGAATATGAGCGTATACACACTTGGCTCAACGACACCCAATTCCTGCAAAGGTCTAAAGATGAAGAGCGAAGGCGTGCAGACTATATATTCCACCTGACGTAAAACTGAAGGAAGGCAACATTTTGATGACACAAATAGCAGTGTTTCCGGTAGACATTTTACCGTTGTACTTCTCTTCCTGGACGAAACTTCAAATAGTAGCCTGGTTGAGAAGGTTTAAAAGCTTGTTAAAAAGGCGTCTAGTCAAAGACTCCTTAGAACCGTTTGGGATGTCAGAAGCCGAGAAAGACAAGAATTCGGTGAAATTGAACGAACTAAGTGAGTGTAATTCAGATGGCCGCTCGCCAAAAGAAGTGATCAAAGGTTTCACGTTAAGCTCTGATGGACAAATAAGACAGGTACATGTTATCAAGACATCTACAGGTATCATCATCCGAGATGGACGTATTATTAGAAGGCATTAATGAACGATAAGAGTCGTTAAGTACAAATCTCCGACTAGTGAATGTGCCAAAAGTAAATTGTACCATTTCTGCGTCTTGTTAGAAAGAAGATTAGGAAAAACCCAAGGCGGTGGGGGTGTCACTTCTTTCTTATCTCTGATTTATTACTGTCTCATTTGCATTTACGGGCAAACTACTTTTTACTAGTAAGTAGTATTGTGGTGAGAGATGGCTGCTAGCCAAATTGGTAGACAGTAATTGACGTCAATGTTTATGTCTCAAATATTAGTCATGTGAAAACAAGATCAAAGACAGACAACAGACTTTGCGTATGCGGATACAATTAGCAGATAGATGATCTGACACTCAAGAGACAGCAACAAAGAGATGAAAGATTAACTTTTTGTGAGAAACAACCAATCAGAAAACTGTGTTTGTCAGCTAACAATAATCTATAATAATGTACACGAAAATCTATAAAAATATGTGTTGATTTCCATAATAAACAATCTGTGCCTGAGTCTTACCTTCTGTCGTTACAGTATGAGTTTGTATTTGTACCATTTTGTTACTCAGTAACCATGGTTACTGATTTCCGTTGTAATTTATCGCACTTACTGCATCAACATTTAGTTTTTCTGGAGGCTACCGCCGACTTTCATCAGCACCTGCACAATTCGCGACTCTGATGGCCAGTCAGAAAGAATAGATAACAAGGAAGTCTAATAGAAGAACTGCGAAGAAACTATTGCCCAACAAATACACAGAAGGGAAACGACGAGTCTGACACGGAGGAGACAATGTCATGTCACCGGATAAAAAAGACCTCAGGGAACAGAGTAAAACTGGGTTGTCGCGCCGAAGTTCTGTTTTTCGCTCATAACTCAACGGACGAATAATAATAAATATGATCAATAATAATAGGCATCCTGGCAACTCTAAAGAATAGCAGCCCAAACCGAAACTACCTAGCGAACGGATAAATGACCTTGAACAACCACCAATCAGGTGACTCCGTATTTTCCAGACGTATTTATGGGTGCTTTACACCTTTGGCGTTGCAAATTCGCTCAAGATCTTGTTTTTCACTAATGTTTGGAGAACGGACTGATAGGAATGTTGAAAAATTGCCAATGTGGAGGTGTCATTCATATACAAAGATACAATAGGTGCATCGAGGGGTTTGTTTGTTGGTGAAATGAATGCCGAACCAGAAAATCAGTTCGAGAACGTATGTCATTCATTTTTAATTTACAGATTCCTTAGGTACTTTTGATAAAAAGAAAATATAATCGAGGGAGATTGAGTGTGGATCAGCAATAGGTATTGGGGATTTATGACACCAGCCTCCAGAAAGGATATATTGGGCGATCCCTAATCGCAGTGCAGGTGTATTATTGCCTATTATCCAGCGCTTAGTGCTGCCTGGGACGACTATTCATACAGATGAATGGAGTAGTTACAGTCAGTTATCGAATCTGGGCTATATTCATCAAGTGGTCAACCATACAAATGGTTTTCTCAATCCTTTTGATGGAACTCACACTAATTCCATCGAAAGTTTCTGGAGTCACCTAAAAAAACGTATCAGATCTGTGAATGGATCAAGAAATGCAATGATATACAGTTATCTCGATGAGTTTATCTACAGGACTTGGTTTAACATGAGTATCAAGACTCCTATGAGAAATTGGCAGGTTTTTTTGCAACATATACGAGAACGTTGTCTTTTGTAACTATTTTTTAACATTGCATTACTTTTATATAAACGATTTATTACAATTATGCGCCGTTTTTTAGCCTTCTGATTGGTCGAAGTTGTCCTTGTCAAGGTCATTTGTCCGTTCGCTAGGTAGTTTCAGTTTGGGCTGCTATTCTATAGAATTGCCGGCATCCTTCCACATACACACAAAACTAATATAAAAGAAGCACAAGAAAGAGAATAAGAAAAACAGACCTTATAATAATCCCCGAATGACCAACTGCCTAACATTTCAAACATTGTATGATGATGTCTATCATAGCCAACATCATTTAAATCATCATGTCGACCACCGATTCGTATACACGGTTGTGAATTAGTAGCACGTCGCAATTGTTTAAACTCTGAACATACACTATCCCATTGGTTGAGAAATATGGACTTGAACTGGTTCATACCTATCCTGACCAAATTATAAAGAAAAATATACACATAAATATATGTAAGTATGCGTGTACATATATCAAACAAACCAGTACGTACGTGCAACTGTTATTATTTATTTATTTATTTAAACGCAGAAAAAACTTGGTACAATATGGCACCAAGAAAGATGCGCCACACAATAATGATAAAACAACATAGATTAAAAGTAAAAATATAAGTAGAAAACGGATAAAGAACTTCATCTGAAAGGAAAACAGTCATGTTTAACAAGTTCAAACAGTATTCGTTAACTATCATCAGGAATGGAAGAAAGAAGGAAATTGCAGCACGTTTGCCATTGATTACGATTCTTGGCCATATCCGATTACGTTTCAAGCCATCGATTCGAGCTATCTCGCGGACCCCAACCAGGGAGTCGTGACGCACCAACCAATGCTAATCTAGCACAAATATCCTCCATCCCACGACGCCACGTCATGGACTGACCACCCCTCCGCCTTTTCCATCTCGTCCCAGGGCTAGCGAACAGAGACCTGTACGGAAGTCTCTGGGATGACATTCGCAGCACATGTCCAAGCCACCGGAGCCGGTGTTTCCAGATGACGACACTCAATGTATGGTGATCTCCACTGTGTTCAAACACACGCCGCGGAACCTCAGAATTACTCACGCGATGATGCCATCGAACGCAAGCAATCCTGCGGAGACAGCGATGATCGAACACGCAGAGTCACCACACATCCTCAGCTCGGAGAAGCCAGGTTTCACAGGCGCAGAGCAAGACAGCCCGCACCGAAGCATTGTATACCCGACCTTTGACAGCCAGGCTAACGTCGCGACGGCACGTGCAACTGTTAACGACGACAACAACAAAAATTGTGCGACTATAGGATTCACTTCTTTCAAACATTTAGAAGGAAATGGAGATGGAGATTGGAAATACGCTGATACTACACACCTCAGACACTCGAGTAGAAACTGAATGGGAAGCGACAAGTTCACTGTGCTTCCCAGGGTGATATGAAAAAGAAATTATGTGAATTAGAGGAAAGGAAAACTTGTGGGCAGTTTTGGAGCCACCTGCACAAGTGACGACAGAGAATCGAATGGAATGAGGACGTTCTGCTGAATCCCTATGCTCCACTCGGAATGCAAGGAATGAGTAATAATAATAATAATATACAAATTTGATCATAGGGAATAAAAAGACAGTTGCAGCAAAGAAAATTTTCTTTTCGACGAATTCACCGTCAACTAGGCTGTACATTCGTGTATTTATAATAAATGGATGGGAAAGTTTCAGAATAATTTCTGGTCAAGGGTCAAATGAATAAAATTATAATTAGGAATTAGGATGTCAATAATAAACAGTGGGACGGATAAAACTCAAACAAAGTAGCATGATAATTACTGAGAAGATTGACATATTGTACAATCAGGGGGTTAGAAATGTAGAAATAACAAAATAGACAGGATGTTTGGATAAAAAACTAATGTGATGAATAACTGTTTACGCAATCAGGGATTAAATATGTAGAAATAGTAAAATGACAAAATAGACAGGAAGTTCGGGTATGAAAATATGGTAGTGTAAACAGGGATTAAGAAAAACTTAAAATAACATGAATAAACAGGAAGTTTGGATAAGAAAGGCAATGGGATAGTCATTACTGAAAGAATTACATGTTTATGACGGCCATGGCAGGGACAAGGGTTGAACGTATTTCTTCTGGATACATAGCGTGGGTTTGAGGTTTTGGATGGCTAGTGTCTCGGCTATGCCCAGTTATGATCCCACTAGATTTTGTTATCCAAACATCCTGTCTATTTTTGTTATTTCTACATTTCTAATCCCCAATTGCACAATATGTCAATCTCCTCAGTAATTATGATACTACTCTGTTTGAGTTTCTATTCCGTCCCCCTGTTTATTATGGCGTTTTAATTCCTAACTGTAATTTTTATTAATTTGCCCCTTAACCGGAAATTATTCTAGAACTTTCCTACCCATTTATTATAAATACACGAATGTACAGCCCAGTTGATGATTTCGTCAAAAAGAAAATTTTATTCGCTGCAACTGTCTTTTTATTCCCAATATTAATATAATTAAACTCTAAGATGCATGGAAAATGTGAACAAATTACTGAGAATCAGAAGAGATGGGTAGCTCATTGGTTTCACCAACTGGGCTTTTAGTCAATGAGTTTTTCGGAATTCAAATCCCACTCCATGGAGTTCAGCCAACCCGGAAAAATGGCTAGTATTACCGACACTCCCTCAGTTACACAGTAGGTGTGGCTTACACAGCCAAGTAAAAAGAAAATCTGCTCCGAGTTCATGAGTCTTAACAAAAACGAGTCAGTAGGTGCTGAAGAGTCCGAAAGAAGTACGCAGTACTCCTTGGTTTTCTATTATGTCAGCTGATAATGAAGTCTGCATTGGAATAGGTCCATACACCTAGAAAACTGATAATCCGAGTAATAATAATAATGAATTTATTCCAAACAGTGATTTTATGTATACATAGCGGTACATTATGGATACTGAGAGATGTACCACGCAAAAATAATGATACGGCAATATATAAGGAAAACAGGGATAGAATAAATATGGGGGAGGACATGCAGAAAGTAAGTAAGCACTACTCATCGAGATCATTCAACATTCTTCACCCCATGCTACTTTAAGAAAAGAGAAGAAAGAGAAATTGCAGCATGTCCACCATTGACTAACACTCCCGGACGTCTTCGACCACTGATTCGAATCATTTTTCGGAACCCACGCAGAGAGACATGATGTAAGTACGGACGCTAACCTAACACAGTTTTCCTTCATCCCACGGCGCCGCGTCATAGGCTGACCACCTACCTCTCCACTTTTTTCATCTAGTCCCTGTGGTGGGAGAACAGTGAGAGGTGTGAGAATCTCTAGGATAGCGCATTAGTAGCACATGTTCAAGCCATTCAAGTCGGTGTTTCAAGAAGACCAGACTCAATGACTAGTGACCTCCATTATGTCCAGACACGCTGCCGGACCTCAGGATTCCCTACGTGATGATGTCATCGGAAGGAAGCAGAGATGATCGAATACACAGAGTCGCCGTATACTCTCAACCCAAAGAGGTCAAATTTTACATGTGTAGAGCAGGGCTGAGTGCAATGAAGCTTTGCAAGCCGGACTTTTGAAAGCTAGGCTGACATCGTGACAGCCCTGGAGGTGGCGTATACCACTCTATACGGTTAAAAACCTCGTCCGCCACACCTCTTGAACAACTTGTCGAAAACTCCATGCAGTTTGCCCGCAATGGTGTAGTGAGAGCTGGCCGCAAGCCAATATCGTAGACAACAGCTTACATCACTGTTCACGCCCCGAATCAGTGTCATGAGAAAAAGAATAATAAAGCTTAATCTTGAGAAAATCACCAGCCAATCACAGCGGAGTTAACGTATGTAAATATGATTCGCAGATATATGGATTGATTTTCTGGGAAACGGCCACAAAGAGATAACAGAATAGCCTTCAGCAAGAAAACAACCAGTCAGAAGAGGTTGCTTCTCAGCTAACAATAATGTACACAAAAATGTATAAATATTTCTTGATTTTCTCATCAAACAATTTGTTGCCTAACCGTTGTCTTGTGTCGTTACAATGGTAAGTGCAGTTACAGGCAGGTTTATGTCAATCTTGCAAGCGCCGACGCTACACAAACACGCATGATTAACACTTTCTACATTTCTCACAAAGTAAATCTCATATGAGTTAAGCAACTGTCACTCAAACAAACAGACAAATAAATAGGCAGCCAGACAACTGTATCTGTCAGGGAAAAGTAGTTGCGTTTTTACAAACCTGCATTGATGAAATAACTTCCTTCATGACGCTTTGGAAATACAGAAGCAGGTGCTACAATTGAATGCTTATGTCTATGAAAAAAATTAATAAATTCCTGTCGAAGTTCAACAGCAGTAGAGTCCCGTAATCGAATTGAGGATGAAAGAGGGATTTGACGAGGAACCGATTGATCTGGCATTAAAGTACACCGACCAGTGGTATGAATATCTGGATTTGAAGAGGGGACTATTGCAAAGTTTCTGTAATCGATACGTGGAGTAAACTTCTGACAAATCTGTAAAGTATGATAAAATAAAAGACAATAATTGATAGTAAATTACGTAGCGCAAAAAAAATAGGGATAAAAACTAAAGAGGTGAAATATTTACTTCGAATTGACTATAGCTAGACAACATGTACAGATGACGCTAGCTGATAAATCAGCGCGGAACTTATCATAGAATCGTATTAGTTCAAGTTACATAAATGTCAAACACCAAAGGCAAACTGATATATAATTTAATAATTCCCATTGTAGCATTAAGAACACAATATTCAGCGAAGAGACTCTTTTCAACGAATTTATTATCAAGCTGTACAATCGTATATATATGGTTTTTTTTATAAAAATTATATCCGGTAAGGGAATTAGGTCAAAGGTGTGAATACATGAAATAATGATAGTATGAAATGCAATTAAAATATTTGTGATTATAATCATAGTTTAATGTCAAGTGGCAAAATAATTAATGTCGTATATAGAATAATACATAAGGTGTATAGAATTTTGGAAAGGGGTACATAATTACAAGGGAGAAAGGAAGTGTGTGCGAGGCTCTATTTTAGAACACTTGGTTGACTTCTGTCACTCTGTCAACCCTGACCATGATTTTAAGATCATATATAGAATCCATGCTAACTTCCCACGTTTTCTTCGTTACAGACTTCTAAAGACAGCTGAGGCCTTGGCAATTCATGACTTTAAGCCAGACCTTTGTGTACAAAAGAAGTATGTACAATCCCTACTTCTGCCTTGGTCGTAGAGGAATAGACATTTATTTATTTTGTTCATTTAGTTATTCCATGTACTTTTCCCTTATTACTACGATTATTATAACTATTCTCACTCTGAATCTTTTTCACTTGACCCACTTGACATTTTAAACCCAAAATTACTGATTTTTATATTTTTATTTTTACAATATTGAATTCTATCTTATCAAATTTCACACCATGTTATGTAACATTTTATATTCGTCTACTAATCTTATAATTATGTACCCCTTTCCAAAATTTTATACATCTTATGTATTATTCTATATACGACATTAATTATTTTGCCACTTGACATTAAACTATGATTATAATCACAAATATTTTAATTGCATTTCATACTATCATTATTTCATGTATTCACACCTTTGACCTAATTCCCTTACCGGATATAATTTTTATAAAAAAAAACCATATATATACGATTGTACAGCTTTATAATAAATTCGTTGAAAAGAGTCTCTTCGCTGAATATTGTGTTCTTAAACTGATATATATATATATATATTGATATAAGTATAAAACTTGGGCACTGTGGGAGAGGATAAGATTTTACTTTAATAAATCACACAGTGTTGTACAGTAATATTAACTGATGACCACGTTTCGAGCACAAACTATTGCCACTCATAATCATATCAAGTCACTCATACAACTTTCTTGCTTCATTTATATACATCAGTGGAATTGGTGATTAGACATTCGAATAAAAATCAATATGGGATAATGTACATTCAGAAATAATAATATGAGTGTTATTGATCAAATACAATCAGATGGGAAATAAGACGAGTGTTTTTATAGTCATAATAAGTAACTTGTTAGAATGTTATGATGTACGTGAATTGAAATTCTAGGGCAAAATATATAAACAAACAGATGGTGTAGCGATGGGATCACCAATATCCTCTATCGTAGCAGACATCTTTATGGACACCTGGGAAAATATGGCTCCAAATACATTTAATCCTACTCCAGACATAACATGATGGAGATATGTGGATGACACTTTCTCACACAGTGTTAAAAAAAGAACATATCTCTAGCTTCTTAACACATATAAACTCACTAGCAGAGGGAATAAAATTCACATTTGAATCGAAAAATGAACAAGAAGAATAAGCCAGGATGTTAGATTGTAAAATAAAACGAATAGAAGAAGGTAGACTGCACACTAGCGTTTACAAGAAGCAATACCAACGCATTCTGTTAATAGATATTTAGACTTCAATTCATCTCATCCGTTAACTGTTAAGGTAGGCTTAGTTAAGTGTCTAGCAAACCGAGCAGTAGCACTGAGTAGTACAAGAAAAGACCTAAGTGATGAAATGAAACAGATAGAAGAATAGCTGGTTGGTGTTAAATAACTATCCTATAAAATTCATTAGGAAGATCAGTAAAGGCCAAAAGCAAGATAAAAATAACTGTGAAACTAGTAATGATAACAGAAATAAGAGAGAAAATAAGTCATCCACTGTTATACCATATAAAAAGGGGACATCTGAAACCCTCCCTATGTAGGATTTTTTAATAAAGCAGGAATTAGGGTGGCATTCAAACATACGAACTCATTCAGGTCTGTTGGCTAAAAGACCCGGTGGACCCAATTAAACAAATTAATATAATTTACAAAATACCTTGCAATGACTGTGAGTGAGGTCAACTACATAGGTCAAACTAGTAGATCGGGGGTAGTGAGATTGTTGGAACATAAGAATTTAGCTAAGGTTAGAATGGTTGACCCCGAGAAGATAAGTAATTTAGAAAAAAGCACTCAACAATTGCACCGCATGCATTAACACACAACCACACAATAGGGTGGGATAGGGTTAAAATTCTAAAGAGTAACATAGGTAGATGGAGAGAGAGACTGATTACTGAATCCTGGTTCATCGAGTCTACACTCAACACATGAACAATCCAAATGACTCAATGCAAATACCAGAAATATGGAAGATATTATTACCACCAGTCAGTCAGTCAAATCAGAAGAGGATAATAAATAATTTCAAAATTCTATTTCAATTCAAGCACATTACAACATCCTAACAAGTTACATATTATGACTATAAAAACACTCGTCTTATTTCCCATCTGATTGTATTTCATCGATAACACTAATATTATTATTATTTCTGAATGTACATTATCCCATATTGATTTTTATTCGAATGTCTAATCACCAATTCCACTGATGTATATAAATGAAGCAAGAAAGTTGTGTGAGTAGTGCCTTGATATGATTATGAGTGGCAATAGTTTGTGCTCGAAACGTGGTAATCAGTTAATATTACTGTGTGACTTATCAAAATAAAATTTTATCCATAATGGAGTTATACTCTACCACAATGCCCAAGTATTATGGTTATATCAATAGAACAAGATAACAACCTATCGCCCAATACACACGCTACGGAGACTGTTGAGTGACTGACATCAAGCGCTACTCCTAGTTTACTTGAACCTGCCACAGGAAGAGAAAATATTACACACCGTATCTCTGCTGCAATTCTGTACAACTCATAAATTTATTATCATTATTTAAAAGAGTGGAATTCAAGTGGGAAGCAACGAGTTGAGTGTATGTCCAAGGGTTAGACAGAGGTCATATGAACAAGAAAAAAAAAAGCTTGTGGGAAGTTACAGAGACCGCAGGGAACAGTGTGTGTGAATAGGCGATTCCCTACTGAAGTCCTGTGTTTCACTCAGAGCCCGAGAAATGAATATTTTTTTCCTTCACGTTCGCAGTGGAACATAGGGCTTCAAGCTAGAAGCTTGAAGTTTTTGTAGCAGTGTTAATTTTTACAGGATGGGGTTGCTAACCTCATGCCCAACCCAGGACCATGTGCATGATCGGCGAGCGTCCTAACCGCTGTGCCACGGACGCAGAGCTCGAGAAATGAATAATAGTAATGAATAAAACACAGACTACCAGTCGGTCAACGTAGCTATCCGGCCGAGATCCAGGTTGTTTGAACTGACTCGCCTCTCTAAGCTAAGTCGACTCCAAAACGGATGGAACAGTCGTCCCGTATTTAGATCACTTCTATTATCTGACTAGCAAGTACTGCTGTGGTCTCCAACTACTCAATCAATCAACAAATCAATAGTATACAAGCATAAGTTACTCGCAAGTTCTTTTCCTTCCAACATTCTCTTACTTTAATTCCACTCAACAACATCAATTTAATCACAACACGAAAAGCGAATAATAACGCAGGTGAGTAATTAGAACTAAATGAAAGCTTAGAATATTCGTTAATTCAACCAATAACCACCAATCAATAGGAGAGAACAAACCAACACATAAGTACATAAGCACTTACTCGAGATTTCTGGACATGACAGACAAAACTGGCCTTTAACTTGAAAATGTGAAATAAAGTCATAGTACAGCTGTACAAGGCTTTTTGAAGCTGTAATAGTAAAAAAAAGAAATGAGTTACGTTACGTTAACCTTACAGGTTCAATCGACTGAACATAAAACATATTTTTACGAAAGACTAAGTAGCATGATAAATGCTGGTAGATTTTTTAATTTCTTTACGTTCCCAGTGGAACATAGGGCTTCAAGCTAGAGGCTTGAAGATTTGGTAGCAGTGGTGTTTATTTCTACAGGATGGATTCACTAGCCTCATGTCCAACCTTCCCTCTTTACCAGTCTTATTTCTGGCTTAGTGAGGTAAAAGGGTGGGTCGGTGCCCGGGAATCGAACCCCGGACCACATGCATGGTCGGTGACCATTCAACCGCTGTGCCACCTATGCTGCTCGGCTCTCTGAGCTAAGATTGTGTGTAGTATCTGGTAGATATACCTTAACAATAAAAACAGTACGACTAATATTACAAAGACTGACTCTCAACCAGTGGGTATATGTAATCTGGGAAAGACCAGTCGCCAATCCAATCCTCGACACTTCAAACTGCATATATCAATTTGAGTGTGTTTGTGGTAGTAAATACATAGGTCGTACAGAAAAGCGATTATTGTCTACTCGCATGATGGAGCATTTGCCAAAATGGTTGAAAACAGCTGAGTGCAAAGTGCCAAAATCCTCAATAACAAAACATCTTGTGGACTATGGACATGATATCGACGCTGTCAAGTCATTCACTGTTATTGTCAGCAGACAAAGAAACAGGAGGATGCTTGCAATTCCAGAGGCTTGTGCAATTCGAGTTTATAAATCAGGTCTCTGTGTACAAAAGGAGATGGTCGTCACTCTGAATCTACCATGGTAATACGTTTTACTTATTATTCTACCTCTTATTATTATTATTCTTGATTCATTTAAAACTATCCTTTATCAGTAGCATTATCTTAACTCACTTCAACACTATTATTATCATTGTTATTATTATTATAACTATTACTATTGATATTACTCTGTTTGCAATTCTTGTTATATTCTCTAATGACTAATTGTTTATCTCAGTGATGTAATTGAAGCGTAATGCAATTTATCTTAATTTTGATTTCTCATACTCTCTCTCTGTCCCCTTATCTATTTGAACATGACCTGGAAAAACATTCGCACCTGTCTATCTGCATGACTAATTCAATGTAGTTTATTTCTCGCTTATCAGTCTTATATCTCCCAATGTAATTTCAAAAGTATATATATCCGTGTATGTAGAGTATTCAGCTGACGAGTTCTACCGAAATTTGATGAATCCATCATTAAATCCTGCTTTATTAACCTTTGTTGCTTGTTTTAAATTCGTATCGGGAAATAAATGTTTTCAATATTCATTCGGCTATCGAATAAAGACTGTGTATACTATGTATCAGTTCACTGACTCGTCTTTTATAGCTATGAGACACGGCCAGTGAAAGCGGAGGATATGGAGAGGCTAGCTATCCGGCGAACATAAGTATTTGTGTTCTATCTCCAGTTTCATAAGGTGTAATAAGGTGATTGATGTCGAAATTAGGCCTAGAGGGACAGTGTGTCCTTCAGTTGCCTTTAAAATTATCAAAAAGCAAAGAACTATGAAAACTGTAAAGTGACTTCCACCGAACCCTTTTATGTGTAAGAAAACGGTGTATACATGTTGATGCCTGTTGCATGACTCATAATTGGACAAAGTTTAAAAACAAGATTTGTTCCTTTTATATATAAATCTCTGTTATGTTAATTTCGATTAATTTCCCTGAAGAAGTTCGGACCAGATTGCCGAACGAAACGTTGGAATTAATCATTTCAATTTCGCTGAGATTTTACAAATATAATTTTATAAATGTCTACTTCTCACTCAGCGCTCAATTATTTTGCAACTATCCGGTCAAATCTTGATCACAGTTCATATGAAGTTAGTTTACGTTTCAGTTTTGAGTTTCTTTAATTATAGGAAGTTGTGTTCCTATAACTTAATAGTTATATATATATATATATATATATATATATCCATTTTTGTACACTAATTGGTTTTTTTATTAATGATTTATAAAGGTCATATATACAAAGTCATATTTGAATCTTTTTGCTCCAATTCGATCTGAAAAGCATGCCTATCAAAAGGGAATGCAGTGTGATAACCGCAGGAGATGGCTTCATAGCATGTGCACAAACATAACTCCTGCAGCACATAAGCGCTGCTGCAAACCTCTGGCGAACTGGCTGTGCAATGACTGCTGTAGTATGACTAAGTTTCGTAAAACGGAAGCCATCGCCACTCTCAGTGGGGCTCTAAAGCTTCTGGACTGCAAAGGTCTTCCACCACAGGAGAAGAGCGACTACTGCTCAGACACCGATGACGTCACCAGCATCGCCTGATGCGTCTCTGTCGGGGAGTGAGCGCCCTTGAGCACAGAGGAACACCCACCACATTCCAGACACCCATGCTGCCCCTACGATACCGGAAAAGTCCTCCAGTCACAGTAATGAAAAGACTGGCACGAAGAAGATGCGTACCAGGAGTCGAAAACCTGCAGCTCAAGTCGCCCAGGGACTTGTAAATCAAGCCTTGTCTACACTGGTGGGTAGCAGGCAGATAAAATCGATTACGATTAGCAAGGAGGACGCCTATGAATGGCGTAATGTAGTCTCTCGCAAAAAGCGAAATAAGGACAACATATTGGCCACACTGTCCACGAAGGACGGAAAGACATTTACGCCGCAGAGTAAGAAAGCCACAGCAAGCAAACCTGATCTCTCTGACAGGTCGCTCATTCTCCACAAAGTGGAAGAATCGCCGGTCTCTGATCCCAAGGTCAGGTTCGAGCATGACCTTAACTTGGTCAAGCTCCTTTAGATAAGCTACTGCCAAAAACAGTATCAGGCATAACAATACACAGTGTATATAGAATCGGCCAAAAGCCTGACTCTGCAGTAAATCAGCCTGTACGCCCCCTCAAAGTCGTACTAAACTCCAAAGAAGGGAGGGATGCCATTGTAAGTAACTCTTAGAGGATTAGGCGTATATGTCCGTGCTGACTTATGCCTAGCAGACCGTGTCAAAAGACAGTCTGCGGTCCTAAAGTTAGGCGAATGACGCCGAAATGGAGGAAAAAACCTTAACATCAAGGGTTTTCGGGTTGTCAAACGTCGAAGTTTGATGATGCCGTAACCTCTGTGGGTAGGCCGGGGAAGCACCAAACTGAATTAACAGTTTGCTACACAAACGCCCGCAGACTGTTGAACAAACGGACTGAGCTGGGTAATATGATAGACTCCGGAAATCCGAATGTAATTATCATCACACCCGATGTTACCGATAACGAAGTTAACCTGCCAAACATCGAAGTGCATAGGGTGGACCCACTAAGCCGCAAAGGAGGTGGCATAATCATCTACTTTAAGAAATGCTTAACCGTAAGTAACATCAAAGCGCTCGCTCACGAAAGTGAATCGTGCGAACTTCTACGCTGCAGACTTCAATGAATAGGCCAAGATATTGACCTCATTGCTGTATACCGCAGTCCTGACTGCAGTGCAAATGACTTCCTAATAGAGAAGTTAGGCTCCTGGACATCGAAATGTCGAAGTCTCGTAGTCGTCAACTTTAACGCCTTAAAAGTTGACTGAACAAACCTTACAACGCCATCTTCAAAAGACTCCTTTGATCATAAACTGCTGGAATTTAGCATTTCGCTAGTCCAGCATGTCATTAACCCCACGCCCTATGACTCACAGCACTCCTCTTCAACTCTGGACCTAGTGTTCTCCCTTGTTGAGGATATGGATCTCATACAACTCCCTCCTTTAGGAAGAAGTGATCACGCTGTGTTCATTTCCAAGTTCCCAGCAGCAGTATAATGGGCCAAAACCCCAGCTCGACCAAACGTTTGGAAAGCTGATATAAATGCGATCGTCTCAGCAACCAACTCAGTAAACTGGTATATTAACCCAGAGTTTAAAGTAGAAGCCGCATGGAACCAATTTAAACAACTTTACGCCCAAGTAACTGAACCTTTCATCCCTTGGTCTGTCCCAAAGGGTCGGAAACACTGCCCCCTTGGATGAACCGAGAGATTTGTAAGTTACTCAGACGCAAACACAAATGTTGGAAGCTGTTTGCCACACTTGAGACTCCTAAAACCAGGAAATTATACAACACTGCTAGGAATAAAGCTATTGCAGAAATCCGCCAATCAAGGGTGAAGTTCAAAGCACATCTGGCTCAAAATGCAAAGGCACAACCTAAGAAAATTTTCTCTTACAAGAACTTCAGGAATAAGACATCCAACGGTGTTCCAAACCTGACTACTGACAATGACACAATCGAAGAAGATCAAGAAAAAATAGAAGCAATGGCAGACTACTTCTCCCAAGTCTTTACACAGGAGTCGTCACTCCCCTATTGGATCAGCTCTGGCTGCATCATGCTCAACTGCCTAATGAAACTAGATGCAGGGAAATCAATTGGTCCCGATAATCTTCATCCGAGGCTTATTAGGGAGCTATCAGCTCACATAGCCAGTCCTTTGACCGCGACCTTCAAGCTCTTTCTCCTAAATGGAGTGTTACCACGTGACTGGAAAGACGCCATAGCAACCCCCATCCACAAAGGAGGATCAAGACAAAGCCCTTCAAATTACAGGCCCATTAGGCTAACCAGCACTTTAATCAAGATACTGGAAGGAATCATCAAGAAAAGCACCATGGCATATCTGGAAAACAGCAGCTTGTTATCCAGAGCACAGCACGGCTTCCGAAGAAATCTCTCATGCCTGTCAAATCTTCTCACTACAAGAGAAAGCTGGGTCAAATCAAGGGAAAACAGAAGACCCATTGACGTCGTCTTCATAGACTTCAGCAAAGCCTTTGATAAAGTTCCTCACAAAAGACTACTCATGAAGTTGGAAAGTCTTGGCATCAAAGGTAGATAACTAAAGTGGCTCAGGGAATTCCTCATAGATAGGAGACAGAGGGTTAATATCCACTCGAAATTCTCCTCTTGGACAGCAGTGCGTAGCGGAGTGCCACAAGGCACGGTACTCAGACCTCTCCTATTTATTTTATATATCAATGAGTTATCTCTGCTCACCGATTCCGCTATGGTCTTATACACAGATGACTTAAAAATTTGGAGAGAGCTGAAGGACAACAGTGATACGTTCACGTTGCAAGAGGACCGCAACAAATAGTCAGAGTGGTCCGGAGAATGGATGCTCCCGATCAATGTAGCAAAATGTGCAACCATGCGCTCCTGCGAACTGGAGGGAATAACACTCCCATCAGTTCAGACTCATTTGGATTAAGGTGTCATAGTTAGTCACGATCTAAAAACTACATCACTGTCGCGCGGTGGCTGCACGTAGTTTCAGATCCTTATGGGCGATTCGCAGAGCCTCTACTAGAATCACCAGAGATATGTCCACCTCCTTATATACATTTCTGGTGAGGTCAAGACTAGAAAAATGTATCCAGGCAGCCAGTCCTTGTCTTAAAGGGGATTCACATATTCTAGAAAGGGTTTAAAGGCAACACGTACGATTCTCGGCATGACTAATTTATCATACGAGGAAAGACTAAACAGTTTAATATTAGAACAAGACATATAAGCGAACAATATTGTTTTCAATTAGATCTTCAGGCTTTACTCTAATTTACATAGATTTATATATAGAAATTTAAACCAATGACGGTGATTTTGTGGGTCAAATAATAATAATAGTCATGTGGTAAATGTTTTGAACGTAGTTAATAACGAGGATTATAATGATAACAAAATATTGGTAATAAGGTTTATACAGGTGGCAATAACAAAGGTAGTAATAAGTGTATAAGTAGACAATTAAATAAATTATGTCAAATCTTAAAAGTTACGTAATACTAAAGGTGAAGTGGACAGGCAATCTCAGTTCAAATAAATATCATAAAAGTACGAAGGAAATGGAAAATAAGAAGGGGTGGGAGGGTTTTGATTAGGATTTACCCCCTAGGCCAAGGGAGAGACAAACTTCTTTGTATGCAGACTAGGATTGTTCGCTCGAATTCACATAGCTTCGTCTATGTGTAAATTCCGTTTGAAAGGCTCGATGGAATGCGACAGATAACTTTGGAGGCACTATTTTTGTCCACTTGGTGACCACCATCAATCAAATTAGCCAAAATAGGACCTCTTATAGATTTTATTTGACCGTTTCCGAACCATGAAGGAATATGCTGATTAATGCATTTGTTAAGCTATCTAGTTGTTTGCCCTATATAGCTCTCTCCAAAGAAACAACTAAATTTGTAGATACACATAGAAGTGGCACTGCTAGGTAGCTTGTCTTTCTCTTGAGCAATCATAATTAGTCGGCTGGAAAATGACAAACAAAGGGTGGCGGCAGTATAAGTCCGTTTTATTGCTCTCGATAACCTCACATGTAAGACTTCACTAGCCACGTCCTCATTAAATTGCAATTTCATGAACAGTTGTTTCTTTTTAACTATTGTCAGTTTAAATCTCTTCTCCATTATACCCTAGGCAGAGATTTAATTACAATGTTTAAAATTGTTAATAACGACTACGGACCTGACCTATCCTCTCTTTTTCTTCCCACCAGGTCAGAATACCATAGGGGACATAGCAGGAGAGTTCAAAAGCCAAGGAGAAATCATATTGCTGTTGAGTACTGGTTCTCACACCGTCATAAACTCTTGGAACTGACTCACAGAAGAAGTGGTGTCTGCAACCCCAACTGATTCATTGAAGGGTTTGGATAACCACAGAAATTTACTAGAAAAGAATTGACATAGCCTCCAAGCCTTCTATCCTCAACCAATAAATCTGAATGTGTTGATAGTCATGCGATTAGTATTGACGAAATTATTGTAGACATGTCTACAATCCTTGAGGATTCCAAATGTTTAACATTTTGACGCAATAAATTGCCTACTTCTAACATACCAAATCATTTCAAACTCAAGCACCAAAAATCAGTTTGATAAAATATTGTGGCAACTACAAAGAATATTTACCACAGTCAAGTGATTTACAATCAACCGGTCATAAACGTTAACACCGCAAAATGAATTTGAGCACTTAGAATAATTCATTATCTTTAAGAGAAACGTTTACGATAGACTGGGACAAGCTTAGACAGCCAAATTACAACGCCCCCTTCTTCCCAAACATCGTATTTTTAACAGAATAACATGTTTCTGGTCATAAACTGATTTTAAGAGGTCGACGGTCTGATCTGATGTTACTATTGAACCTTGTATGTAGTATTTTTTCCTTACAGTTGCCAATATGTTTTCTACGCGCAAACCAGTAGGAACCTACCACGAGAATAAAACCCACAGAGTAGCGTAACAGTTAAATATAGCGCATTTAAATTCGGCTTTTCATTGGACATAGTATGCCTGAAGTCTATTATCATCCCATGCAAGTTGGTACATGTTGTCCCTCATTCTTCATTTAAATGAGGAGATTGAGAATTCGAACACTGTTTCTTCTGGAAACCAATTCAAAGAGTTTATAACGCGATACAAAAATACCAACAGGAGTAAATATGGTTCATACCTCTCTCCGAATTCTCTTCTTGTGTCCTCTGAAACATTCTGACGGAAAATAATGATCACGCCAACAGCCGCGTCTTGAAATCTTCAACATCTTAATTACCACTTCTCTTAAGCAAAGGCATGGTAAGAAATTCAGTCTGTTAGGCCGAAAACTTTAGGAAAAACAAGTCACACCAACAATGTTCTATTATTGTGCTTTGACCCCTTAACCTTTAGGCAATGGTAAGATACTTGTGAGGATTTTTCTTGCCTGAGTCCATTTAGAAATGGGTCAATTGACGTGACAATTTCACTGCTGATTCTAGAAAATGTAGCACAGGACTTGGTTAAATATGATACGTGGATCAGTATGATTTCGAAATAAGTCCGCTTTATACAGTTCGAAAGGTGATACTTCCTTGCACTATTTTAGTTATTGCGAAATTCCAGTGATGGCAAGACTTTTAGGTCCGTATCTTGAAGAATAAGGTATACCAGTAGGACTGTTAACATGGAAGATTCCCACTGCTTGCGATCCAGAGCATCATCATTTTAATTTTGTAGCTGTAAGCTTTTCTCAACCACTCACTGACATTTTAGTGTCAGTGTGCTTAATTTATCAGTGAAATAAACGTCTGCTGTGCATTTGGGACTGCAATATATTACGATCAAATCGATGCCTTGTCACTGTTGTTTCATTCCTCCTCAGCGTATAATTTAGTGTCATTTATTCTCTCTGAAACCATTTCTGCAAATGTAGGCTAGCACTTAACACCCGGGTGTTTTGAGAGGTAGTTTGTATTAATCCTTGCAGTGTGTATCTCAGTGGAGATTTAACTTATGCTTGAAAAGGTCCACTGAATTAGTCGATATAACTTGATCTAGTCTAGCCTTTCACTATCATATATGAGTAGTCGAAATTCAATCACATCTTATTTGACAACGGTTTAACCACCTTTGTTGACTAGCCTCTCAGAGGTATCCTGGATGGGTTAAAGTCTTACAGAGCCTACCAGTCAGCATTTAAATAAGCTAAATTAAATTCATCTTTCTTCCTATGGCATAATAATGAGAAGAGGTCTGAGCTTACCATACTCTTCTCGCATGGAAGGTGTTAGAGTTCCCGAAATAACGAAAATCCGTCAGTAGTATTGTTTCCCAGATTTTTGTCTTCTCCTGGGAGCATGTTTTAGCAGCCTGTGGGCAGTATTAAAGATGCTGCATAAAATTTACATTATGAAACTATCCGCACCCAGCCATTTAGAAGGCTCATCCAATATTGAGAAGGCCTTGGCTAAGTCTTCATTATTTCAGTTGTGACTAAGAACGGTTCCAAAAATTCATTTTTCTATTGACCTCGAATAACTCTTATTCCTCAAGATGTATGTGGAAGAAGATCACAGACATGGTTACACTGCTTACTGCACATACCGTGGATTTTACTTCCTCAATCAAGAGACTAGACTACTCGGTTAGCCTAAATAAACATGTCGTGAATTGGCAGAAGTTAGAATTCAAGGACCATTAGATCGGGTCCCAGTGGCTCAATGGTCTACGAGCTCGCCTTGTAACCAGGAAGTCCTGGGTTCGAATCCCGGGGGGCACATACTGCTGAAGAGTCCCAAACTAGGACGAATTTCTATATTTCTTGATGAGCTCCACTGAATGACTAGTTATCACATTGTTCCCACAAACCAAAGACAAAAACGACAGCAACCATGTAATTTAACCATAAACCAAATCTATGTAATGTAAATAATACTTATCCATGCCTGTACAATTGATGTGTCTCACACAGGTGGGAAAAATGTATTTTATTAAATTACTATTATTAAATACGCTTACTGGTCGTATATGTAATTTATCGTATTGCTGATGCCTGTAAACTGGCATCCCTCATGTACAAAAATGAGAATATATTATTATTATTAACCGTGAACAACACTCATCACTGCTTTTTTCCTATAGTCGATTTCACTATATTCTGTTTGAATCGCCTTGTTGTCGACTATGCTAGAATACTTCTTACTGCCTTCAACCCGAGGAAGACTATAATAAATTTATTAGCCTGGGAAGAGGCTGAAGAAGCTATAGCCGCCTCCTTATAAAAGTTCATAAATTCATTTTCTGAATTCGAGCAGCCAATATTCATCTACGAGATGAATGCAAGAAGATAACTGACCCGGAAAAATAAGGTAAAATCTTCACTTGGTCTCCAGACTCAAAAGACTAAACATGTTAAAACCTCAACAGCAAATAACAATAACACTTATATCACAAATAATTTTCAAGCATCTATTTCTCTCAAATAGTCAAGATCTGAATTATTCTTACATAACACATAGTCAGGAACAAAAATAATAATATATTCTCATTTTTGTACATGAAGGACGTCAGTTTACAGGCATCATCAATTCGATAAATTACACATACGATTAGTAAGCATAGTTAGTAATGATAATATAATAAGGTACATATTTATTCATTCAAATATAGGACACACAAGTTGTATAGGCATGGATAAGTATTATTTAAGTTACATATTTAGATTACATGGATTACGGTTAAATAACATGGTTGCTGTCATTTTATCTTTAGTTTGTGGGGAAAATCGGATAACTGGTGATTCAATGGAACACATCAAGAAATATAGAGATATTGACTTCACATTAACAAAAAAACCCAGTATGCGTTGGATGGATTACACATACTTGGGAAAATAAATAAAGCTTGAAGTCAATTCCCTCATAAAACAATAAAATGCGTCTTACAGTAATATATGCAGGAGCAGAATTTCTCTATCGAATGAGTCAGTGGGATCTGAAATGCATCTGTCAGCATATTTTCGTCATTTCACAGATATCCAGGTTTATTGGCGCTGTATAGGTAGTAATTTGGATTTGTCACCATGATCGACAGATGGACGAATATTCTAATATGTACTACAACTTGTTTGCCTTTCAGATTTAGTTAATTACATCGCGTGTTGGGTTTGATTACTCTGCAATTTTGACATATTCCACGGTGTCGCCATGATTATGGGAAGTATGCATATGCTTAAATGCATTACTTTGTTGGCTGCAATCTCCACTGAGTGTATACAACCGGAACTGTGGATTTATGTGTTTCCTCACCACTGTGGATAAAATATCGCCCCATTCCTTTTGGAAAGGAGACCAGTTGGTGGATTATAAATGATGTCTAAGTAACTTATATCCTTCCATGTGATGTTGTGGTAAGTCTTGATGTTGTTTTCTCATATTTCATTCGTATGTTGGTTATGGTTCACGCTTTGTATCAAGTAGACATAATTCGATCGACTCTTATTTGTATGGGTGTTATTTTCATGACTGCTGCTTTTTTGTCTGAAATTATATATAAAGGCAAAAGAAACAAGAGGTGTAGTCTCTAAGTTCACACATTAAATGGGCCAATAATTTCTGAAGCTCTTACATGGGAATTAGCACTGGTATCACTTGCAAACCCACTTAGTGTGTCATTAAGAGCCTTTTCACAGGACACCAGTGATCTTGCTAGTCGCATTTCCTGAGGTAGTTTGTCCCTTATTTGGGCATACCTAATCATGAAAAATCTTTGCCTGGTGGCTGTTTTACATTGTTCTATAGCCTTCGTACCTTGAGTGTGTCTAAGGTTATATCCAGTGTCTTCTGAAAACAGAGTACAATTAGTAGGGGTATACACTATGTGGTTAAGTAGTTTATAGAAGAGTACCAGATTTAGTCGCAGTCGTCTTAACCATAATGTTTCTAGTCCTAAAATTTCACATCTGGTAGAGTAGTTTGTGCCGTTTTCGGTTCCGATTACTTTCAGCGTGAAGTACCTCTGTACTCCTTCTACTTTTAGTTTGTCTTCTATGCGTATACTACTAAATATGAATGAACAATAGTCTAGGAGTGGGCGCACAAAAACCTTGTACAGTAGTATTCTGGATTCACTTCTGTAGAAATTCCTGAGTAGGAAACCAATAAGTCTGCGTGATTTCGATACTTGTTTCGAGATATGTTCAGAAAATGATAGATTGTGTGAATATGTCAGTCCTAGGTCTAGCACAGATTTGAGTGTGGGGATTTTGTGGCCCCGAATTGCTAGGTCGAGTTCTAGGCTGGGACAGCCTATGCAGAGCCAGCCAGATGTGATACTAGTTTAATTTACATTGTCGCGTGGAATTTCGAGAGACCGTAATTGCTCAGTGCACAACATGGCATCACATTATGTTGATATCAGTGTGCACTGAGTCAGGAAGAATAGTATAGATGGTCCTTCTAAAATGTCAGACTGCTAAAAATTAGTGTCAGCTTTCTGTCGAATAGTAGCTAGCACCTGCGTCCTACAACTACTAAACCTGTTAATTAAGTTATATCAATCTTAATAATTATTCCTTTTCAGATCATTAAGATAATCTAAGCTCCTTAATGAACTACTTGTGGCTATGAAGGATTTTTAAGAAGCACTTATGGCTCATATCTTTAAAGCATTTATTATTAAACAAGTTATCCATAGGGATTCTGTGATATTCAGGTTATAGTGCTTGACTGTATGTAGTTACTGCATGCTATTGTGCGTGAAGGTACGGTTGGTGAAAATAAAGATAGAATAAAGTTTCCTATAAACTCACTATGAAGACTGCGAACTGTTGATAAGAAACTGCACCAAAGGAAAAAATTCCGAACAGCTAGAAAGGGTGGTGCATGCCGATCAGCAGATTTGGTAGTGGTCACAAATATGAATCGCTCCGATCTGTAGGGCAGCAACATGCATTATTTTGGCGGCTCGAGAATTAAACATGAGTTTAGA